AAATAAAAAAGGTCAATGTCGAGTAAAGAAAAGTAAGACAATGCTAATGCTAGAGATATGGTAGCTCCATCTGGTTAGAAATGGAGGAATAATTATGGATTTTATCAGAGTAAGATAAAGTCTTTTCAATCATTAGTCTCGGAAATATCATCAGATATGATCGATGATGTAGGGAAATTGTGAAAGAAAACAAGTACTACTTTGGGCTTCCAGTTGTAAGATGACTAGTTAAATAAATCAATTATTACCTGGTGAAAATCACTATCATTTATCATTTCAACTGCACAAAAAAATCATATACACTCTTTGCAACCTTATTCTCCAACCTATTAAATTACAAGAGTTGTGTGACAATTTGACAGTCTGAAAAGACTCTTACACATGCCAAACAACAAAGAACCGGTAAGGCTGATATTTAACAGTGAGGATAAAAAAAAAAAAAAAGCCTTTTCTTTTCAGGAATATGACTTAGTGAGGTCAGATTAAACTAATGTGAAGAGGTTTGTTGATCTCTTTATGAAAATGGATGCTTTACATCTATCAGATTTTAGAGAAATGATACTTAAGTCAAAAGGGGACTTTGACATTGCATATTCTGCATATTCTGCAGTAATGGGCATCAGCTTGGATGCCTATTTGCAGAAATTAATAGTTTCCAAGCCAGGGGTTTGGCTGTGCTAATTTTAAGGCAGAAAATCATAAATCAGTCGTTTAAGAAATTTTATAGCTCTGAATGGAAGCTCAAACACTCTTATGGAACAGGACAATATTTCACCTCATCACTCCTCATATTCTTTTCCCATGAAATTTGGACAAAACTTTCAAAAAACTTTATTTGTAATTTTATAGTTGCACAAAAGGTATAGACACAAGTTGCATATAGCATAAGCTAGTTGAGGCAAGTTGTGTGGAGAGAACAAAAGATTGATAATTTATACCAGTAGTAAGCTTCTGGTACTAATGACATTCTCTTGAATGCCAACTTGCCAGAGCAAATGTCACACCTATCCTTTCTTTCAATAGTACCGACCATATGTAGTGGGGTCACTTCACATCTCCCTAAACAGCAGAGAACACAACAGTTAATTCCAATCATCAGTCTCAATTAAGAAATAAAAATTGAAGGATCAAGACCTATCTGGCAAAGAGAAATACAAGTCAAACTGGTTTGAAGACATTTTAACCCAAAATTCGTTTTCAAATATGACAGAAATACTGTAGTTCACATTCTAAAGAAACAACGAGTTCCAGCCCCTTGAGTAATTATTCATTTGTTGTATCGCTCACCTCATGTTTTAAGAACCAGAGAAAGTTAGATAATTTTAATCTGCGAGTTTTATAGTACACTTCGACTCAAAATTCATTTCGTATGGCAGAAGTATTCTACTGAAATAAACAAGACAGAATAAAGCTGACGCCATCCGTTTCGAATAACACATGAAGAAGAAGAAAACGGCACCAGTTTAAACTCATGAGACAAAGCCCACGCATTTTTTTGAGGTAAATGAACTGGTTAGACCGAAAGCTCAATAAATAAACAATGAACTGACAGTGGTGAGGAATTTGGGGGCCATGTGATAAAACAAGTTCTACCGAAGTTTATCCTCTAGTTAGCCCTTCAAGCTTAAAAGGGCAATCAGAAAAATTCTCACCAAAACACAGCAACAAAATTAGATAAAACCGCAGATGATCGAGGCAAGACTATAAACGTTGTTAAGACACATGCCTACGTACCAAGTACAACAGACTTGGAGAGCAAAAAGGCCAAAGACAGTTGTGAGCCATGACTTGGAAAATCCACCTCAACCTCCCAAAAACGAATTCGCCGAAGGTTGTAGAAAGAGCAACTCAATCCTGAAGCTGGAACATTTTTTTAAGCCTTGTGTCCAATGGGACAACAAAGAGAAAGAAGAAAAGATGTTATTTGAAGTGATTTGAAGCTTGGGGGCCACCTCGAACTTAACGTAATTTTATTTCAAAGTTGAAGTAAAATAAGATCAAATTGTAAACTACCTTCTATTATCGTAACGAATATCTCACGATCGCCTCCACACATCACTTTGTGATTCATAGAAGTAAGACATCAACATCTTAAGACTAACCTTCAAGGTTTGTAGCCTCATGTGCACATCTTGATCGTCAGCAAATCAAATCTCAAACTTCGAGTTTTTGACCTTTTTTCGCGTTTTGTTCACACTTTGATCATTAAAATATCCTCATCCGAAGAGCCAGAAAACTCCACAAGTATCCACAGAGTTAGAAATGGTGGTAAAGTTGTCATGCTCTTCCATCGCTCTCCAAAAAATATCACAGAAAGGTGTCGATCGCTCAGTTGAAAACCCGCAAAAGCGCGCTGAAAATATCAAAATGGCGCCGAACGCGCCGAACAAATTTTCTTGGCGCATGCGTAACAAAATGCCCCTCTGCTGGTACGCAGGACTATCTCATTACATTTCTAGTTCCTAGGTCCCAACGGTTCCTCGAGACTAATTCTGGTGCCGAGGCTCTGCCAGTAGAGAGCCGTTGAATAGTAGCGATCATTCCGGTGAGCAGTTGATATAGCGAAGAATGTATAGGAGGCGGGGTGGAGGGAGAGGAGAACGGTCTACAAAAAAGGAAGGTTAGGGAAGGGGTTTTCTACAATAGATCACGCAAGATTTGAGTAGCTTTTTAAGGGGTTTATACGAACTGAAATTCGATCTACCAGGTGGGATGTGGAAGTTTCCCCCCACTTCAAGCTCGCCCCTGCCTTTAGTTTGCTACCAAATCTTTCAACTCGTTTCCTCGACGGAGCATATTTCATTTCTGTGGAAATCATGATACATTTAGGTCAACATGCGATTCTACTTTTTCTGCGTTAAACGCTAGACCACGAAAGCCCTAGAAGTTATATTACTATGAAACGTTGTGCCCAACGACAAACCAGTGCGAGTATGCAGTAAACGCGCGTCGATAACACTGCTAGGGAATTTGCATCTGAAATTTCGCTATGCAATTGTATTTTGGTCAAAATATGATTTCGACAAGATAGGAATACGTTCTGCGTCCAGAAAATAAGTTGAAATCTTTGTGGGCGAAATGGTCAAGGTGGAGGGGAACTTGTTTTACTTAAGGGGGTGAAGTCGTAAAGGCTGTATGAGGCGAAGTTGCAATAAGGCAAAAACCTCCTCAAACCAGTGAGATAGCAATTTTTATTTTTCTGGTTTCTTTCTTTTGGATAAGGCTGGAGTTTAAAGTCACCCACAGTTTGGTCGTTTGGCGTTAGTTCTCAAGTTCATGGTTTATCTCTCTTGAAGAATTTTAACTTTTGTATATAGAATAATAATGGTTGTTTTGAGCTCGGTGAAGAAACAGGTAATTTTTTACCGAATTCAAAACTTACCATCTTTCCTTTTCTATTTACAAAACATGACACTATCGACATTGCTGATTCTAGCAGTATGCAGGACGCTTATCATATATGAACTTCGTAATGTGCTTTGCTCACCGGAGAGTCTCTGTGGCTCGGTGGTAGAGCATCGGAGCGCGGAATTCGAACGTTTTAGGTACGATTCCTCGTGGGGACTCAGAATTTTATCTTTCTCCTATTTATCTTTTTATGAACTAACAGGTCATTAAACTGTTCTAAAAGCACTTCTTTTAATTGTAAATTTCATGAACAGATTCCAATTGCGAATTTTTGTATTTCTCCAAGCCTTTCTTGATATAATGCATTAGAATGACCGCTTGCGGTGGCCTCTCACACTTGGCTAAAGTGAACCGTTGTAACTCAATTTTTACCAAGAATCTAAGACACAGTGTCCTCCGTTGAACCATTTTAAACGAAGGACATGTGAAAATAGCGTGACGTGACCGAAACCATACAATAAGTTTAAAAAAGTCCGAGTTAAATTAGCATCTAAACCCTAAGGTTCCACAAGTCCTGCTAGTGCCACGTGACTCAGTCTCGTTCTGAGAAAAACTGGTGTTGAAATTGCTGTAACACTGGAACATCAACTAATGCATTTACAAGCATTAGTATTTCACGATACGGACGATGAAAACAAATTTAACGAACTGGCGATATTTGACGAAGACCCAAAATAGGGTTCTGTGGGTTCTGGAAAAACCTGTGGAAAATCTTGGAAAAAAGATTTCTGTTCTTGGAAATTACTGGAGTTAATCGAGCGTATTTTATATTTCGCATGTCTGTATTAGCACCACTAGTCAACTTGTCATTGTACGGAAAAATTTATGCGCTCCAAGGAGTTAATTATTTCATTGCTAAGGGCTAACACCTCATCCTCGATGATTAACTGAATTAGCATTTCACCACTAAGAAACTGAAAAAGACATTTTTTGCCCCGATTTGAGAAATGCTGCTTCTCCGATGAAGCTCTATTCTCCCAAAAAAAAGCTTCACTCGTCTTTTCCACTGAGTAAAAGTTAACTGAGTGTCGATGAATAAGCGGCAAAAACTCAGCAAACTCTTCATAATTTATGCAAGCAGAGGGACGTTCAATGTACACCCTTACTCGTTATTTCTAATTAGCATCTGCAAAAACAGTGCAAACCACGCGGAGATTGTATGCTACGCTGTATTTTATCAAACACTCGGATGACCTTAGATAGGTAGCAACAAATTACCATCCGCTCGTGCATTGTGTTTTCTTGGAATTTCTTTCACCTCCTAATGAAGGCGATTTCGCACTCAGCTTGAGGCTTCCCTTTAAGCTTTCACCAGAATCATGGAGATAGAAGCTCTATTGAAAAGATGAGAAATAACACAAAAAGATGTTTAATGATGGTGTTTATTACGTACATTCCACGTTTATTTCACAGTGGCATTTTGCATATCACATCCACCTAGATATATGTTGCTTCTGGCAGCAGTCCTTTGCACTTTTCCTTATTCTCTCAGGAACTCAAAAGTTAAAAGACGACCCGCAAAATTTGTTGCCTATAAAGAAGCGTATTACTCTGCGCCTTTTTTCTACCCTCGCCGAAAAATCCAAGACAAAATGAAATATATTTTATATCTGTATACTGGAATGTTTTCCGGAATCGACAGTGATAAACCTGAAGAGCTACAAGACTGTTTACGAGGAAAGCTGCAAAAAGAGGCAATCGTGAAAAATACCAACGACATTCTGGCAGACGAACATGATTTCAGGAAAGAACTCCGTGGCAGTGACTGCGTTGTTTTAGTAGGTTCGGGTCAAGCTTCGTCCCTTATTCAGAACCAACAGCAAGAAACAGAAGACGGTTTGATCATTTTTGACGGTAAAGTTATACATGAAGAGTTCACAGGAAACAGAAAACTTGTGGAGAAACTGATTATGGTTTTCTTCACCGAAAAAAACAAGAATGATTGGATCCCAACTGGTATGGATGAAAAAAGAATTTTTCGTCTGAAAGGAGAGAAAATTTGGGAGGGAAACCCGGCCCTTGACCACCTCGAATATACCATAAGACGAGTACTGGGAGAGACTGTACTGGATTGGTGAAAGAGTACAGCTTCATCTACTGAGAGCAGGAGACTGGTACTATTTTTGTATATGTCCACTGAAATAAAAAGAAGAACTGCTGATAAAAAGTATTTTAATACTTTATAGAGTCAGAAATAAATTTAAAAACTAGTTGTAATCAGCGACTCGGACGAAGTTTATTGTTTTTGTTGTAAGGACAGAAGTGTTCTTTTGACAAAACACTTGAGTTTTTTAGTTTCAAAAGCTGCTAAAAATATGCTGCTTTAATGACACAAAATTATTTATGATACGAGAGATGGTTAAACATATGGGTATTGTAACAGGTGAGACATTTATATTAGTCGTGTGCTACCAGGTAATTCTTTTCAGGAAGCAATTTTTGAATGGAATGGACCCTGATATAACTTACAATTTCATGACGGAGAAATGTTTGTATATCCAAATATAGTCACTATGTTCTAGGCCCAGATACGTTATTTGGCACCGTTTGTTATTTAAGTTTAGTGTGATAAGCAATTTCTTCAATTTCACAAGTATTTAAAAGATTGTAAGAGTGAATACGAATGTTGAAAACTACACATTAGATAGTGGAAAAAATGTTGATTTTTTAAGGTTTCTGCTCGTCATTTCGTAAAACAGTGTATGTGGGCTGATCATGAGGTGCCGTTCCTACTCTGGCATCTAATTTTGGGTCTCAATGGGGTGACTTCTCTACATGGCTAACGGTTAAATTTTGGCCATTTTACGGCTGAAGTAATTTTCCCTCTCGGTTGAAACGAACATTTCTACGGTTATTTTTTTCTAACACTGAAGGTTAGAATTTTTCAATTTTTATGCGTAACGCCTACTTTTTTTGGCCGTTTTACGGCCGAAGACTAACCCCCTAACTGAACCAGCGAGCTCTCTGGGGTCATTCGACGCCTCATCATATCTTCCGTGAAGGTTTATGAGCCCAATATGGTACAAAATGTTTAGGGAAAGATAAAGAAGTAGCCTAACAGAAATTTTAATTGCGTTCAATAGACGACATTCGCATCAGCTCCCTTCTCTTAAAGTAAAATTGATTCCTAATTGCTCAGAGGAAAAAATTTTGATATTCCTTTAGGGGTAGGGTAACTACGGCCTCAAATCGAACTTCTAATCTTCCACAAAGATATTGAAAAGATTGAAAAACAACGTAGGAGTTACTTCTGATTTAATATCTGAAGTTCGTTTTTCAGCCTCTAACCGTCAGTTCATACAAACACAAACCGAGATGCCGTTCTAGGTATCAAATATATAAGGAGCGAGACTTGTTTCGTTATGGGTAGGTGGCCAGGTTGCAAAGCAAGATTCATTGTGACGACGTTATAAAAACGTTTCGTAAGAATAGTCGCGATGTTTGGAGAGATAAAGCAGTCTATATCTACGACTGACAGCTGATGAAATTCCCTGACTTTCAATTTCCTAGTAAGTCTTCTTAAATGATTTTGACTGAGGAAAATAATCCAGAATCTCTAACAGGCATGTGTATCATTTCTACAAGCTGGTTGCGGTTCATAATCTTGTTTAGTAATTGAGTAGCTGGTTGCCTCGTTTGATTTTGAAATATTCAGCAAAAGAGTGGAAAAGAAATACGACTGGTCTTCGGTGATTAAAGGACCTTCTCCTCATAGTAAATTCTTTCGTTGTATTAGGGTAAACTATGTAGCTATTGAGGGCCCTATGACGAAATAAAGACAGAGTAGATAGCACACGAATTTTTGGTGGCTGAAGACGTGTTTCCTTGCATAGTGAGGCTAAGTCTGTACTCGAGCCCACCCAGCATGAGCTTAGCCCAGTGAAGTGACTGGGATTATCACCACTCCCTCCTGGATGGAATGCTGGTCCATTGCAAAGGTAGCTCACCTAACAATAGGCCATTTTACAGTTGTGTACTTAGTTGCCAAGCCTTTGATTCGGAATGAGGCTGAAGTTGACCATGTTGTGATGGAGACCAGTATCTAGTTTGCATAATAACAAAGTAGTTTACATTTAAATTGGCAAGGTTTGTATCATAGCAGGGTCACCCTCAGCCTCACTCCTTTTCAAAAGCTTGGCAACAAAGCACGCAACTGTAAAATGGACTATTCGCCGGCACTGTGGGAGTAAAGTGTTTTGCCCAAAAACACAAGACATTGACCCGGCCTGGTCTCGAACCCAGACTTCTCGACCCGAAGTTCAGCGCACTAACTATAAGGCCACCGCGTTCCTTTCATAGCTGATAATTAATACTAGGCACGATCGAAACTGCGCATAATTAGCAACGCAAATAACAGTTCGTACCGACAGTTTAAGTGAGTAAACGCCACAAAGGAAGTCCATATATAAATACATTTTTAAAAAAAAGGAAAGCTGAAATTATGAGGAGTAGGCAAGTGTTCTTAAGACAAAATATCACTCATTTTCACAACATTTAAACAGCAGAGGGGACGAAACAAACAGGTGTCTGTTAACCAAAAAAATAACGGAAACGACATGGAATCCGTCCAAAATTTGTAATTATGGGATTTGAGATTGTATCCGGTCCAGCGAGGCTTTATAATGATTTAAAATTTAAATGAACATGTCTAGTTATCTGTGCGATGGTTGCCAACACAAACATTTCCCGCAAAGATCACGTTCGACAACAGCCGAGCCAGCCGAATACACTTGACATCGCACGATACAAAATGCGCATTCTAACCATGTTTGTTTCCATCGCGGACAGCAAAGTAACTCAACTAGAAAAAATTGTATTTTTATTTTTCTTTTCAGTCATCTCACTATTGACTTCTTCGTTGAATAAATAAAATATAAAAAGATAACTGTGTAGCCTACCTGAAATACCACACAGAAAAATTGTTCGATGGTTTATAAACGGTAGTCTAGAGTTGCTTCAATCAAGTACTTGTTATTGTTCTAATTTCTTTAGTAATTTTCCTGTTAACACGGTTAGTGAAACAATTTCATAATGTGCTTGAACTCGTCGTTTTTCCTTCGAGTTATCAATAACCTACAGGGGTCTTCGTATTTGTTCGGATTTATTCTCGCAACAGCTGCTTTTTTCCCGCTTCATATGAAACTCGATCCGTAAAAAGGAGTCTAAAACGAACTTCAAATGCCCAAAGGTCGTATTCAAGAACTGGAGTAGCCTACGAAGGCTTTCATCATCATCGCTGGAAGACGCGCGTTTCTTCGCCCGCAAGAAGATTTGAGATGAGTCAGGGGGAGGTTTGCCTGGGGCCTGGCACCTAACAATCAACGCCAGGCCCCTTGCAGACCTCTTCGCTGGCTCGCGTTGTTCAAGGCCTCCTACTTTCTCGCGAGCGAAAAAACGCTTGTGTCGAAGTGCTAATAATGAGGGCCTAGTGACAAGTTAGAATGGAATGGAACATGATATTCCCGTAGTTGAGCCAACATGTCTGACAGCTGTTCACCCTCTTTCAGGTCTCATCTGTTTTACCATCTTTCTCATCACATCCCTGGGATTAAGAGTCGCAAAGAAGAAAATTATTGAGATACAGCGGGGAGATACGGCAGCCTAATGCAAGGAGATGTAAATGAGCGGACCTAATTTCAGTTCAAGAATCATCCATACCTTATCGCGTTAAGCTTTTCTTCCACTGATTCCCAAGGATTGCGATCTTCACTGAATTCAAGGAGCTCTACAGCAATGTAAATATGAGCACGGAAAATATTCAGTTTTCTTAATAGTGTAAGTAAACCATTAGGCTGAGAGAGAGTATATTAGCCTTCAGTGGCCAAATAACCAGCTCTTCCCGTCCTCATCTGTTTTCTACTTTAAATCCAAACAAGGATATGCATAATTTGGTCATTAACTTATCGTGCAAATGAGAATTTTACGCGTTCATAGCTGGTCGAGTTTCTATGATATCGAATTTACTACATGGCCGCGGAAATGAAGTTAAACTATTGCCAAGCTAAATATTATTGTAATGGACTCTCGAACAAAATGCTCATCCATAGTCTTCGTTCCAGCCCTTCAATCCATCTCATCGTGAATTTAAGCGAGCTCAAATTACTACAAACCTTCCGCAAGTTTCTTTTCACTGATCCATTCTCCCTCTATGTAATACTTCACGCGTAAATTCTTCAACAAAGATAAGAAGACAAGTGAAAAGACGCAAAAAAAACATTCATACATTAACTGAACAGACATAATACGTTTTGAGCTAATTGAAATAATATAAGCAAAATTGAGTATCCATCACTGAAATTTTTCGCTTTTGCAAGTAAAAATTTAGCACATGAGAAACTTGTTTTTCGTAGGGTTCACCGACTCAGGGGTTGATATCTTGTCACTCACTTAATGCTCCTGCTTTTTTGCCTTTAATTACTCAGTCTTGCGCACGCAAACTAACTGAAAACGTGTGAGCACATGCTCACCTACACGAGGACGCATTACAATGCGCGCCAACGCCTCCATCTTAAACCCGTAATCTCTGTCTACGTACCAGAAAAGGAAATCTCTCCATACGAGTGAGCTGTAAAATACGATCCACATCATACTCCATACGGGCGACTTTCTTGGCCTGAATGTAAGTTGTACTCATCTGTGCTATGAGTATGTTTAGTAAAATCACAAGTACAGTTCCCATGTACGCTAGCATCAACAGAGTGGAGAGCCAACTGCAATAGAAAAAAGATTCACAACAATTGCGGTAAAAGTATAGGGATTACCATATTATAACATAGGGTAACGCATTGCATATAATACTGTTTGAATGAAACAATGTCAGTATCTAAGCAACTACACACCTACCCCTTCCCTAACTTAACAACATTGAAATGTAAGTCAGGGCTAATGCTGGGTCAGGGGAGGGGTAGGTATGTTGTTGATCCATACTAGTCATATAACTGGGTCAGTCACTCACTTGAAACTTGAATAATCTGCCACAATGGATCGTTGTTCAGAGAGAGCAAGAACACCGCTCAACAATACATCTTCTAAGCCACTGATTATAAAGAATAGATTTAAAACAACGTAAACAACATTTCTGAATATATGCATGTCGAGTAGACTAAATAGGTCTTAATGGCAATTGCATTGTATTTATCCGAAACTGGACGAGCGTTTTCAAAATTGGAAAGCTAAAAGCATTATACATTTTTCTTCCCACAGAATAACTCAGATTAAGCTCAAAAAAGAAGAAATGAGAAATAAATAGAATTACTAGATGCACCTTAATTCTTGGTTTTGATTGGATGAACGGAGAGATAAAAATAAAGCCCCACAGAAGGGAAGGAAAATCGCAAAAAAAACTGCCATGAATCTTGTCAAGTCTTGCTGAATGATCTTAGCCAAGGTTTTTGTGTATAGTCCTGTAGTCCTGGAAAAGATGAACGTCTAAGTAAGATAAATGAGCTGAGCTGTATTTCAATGCGGACTTAAAATCGTACGTTAAAACGTCCATGCATGTATAATTAGTATATTGAAATAAAAATTGCTTTCCGAGAGACGGTTATTTTCACCCCACTTGTGGAGTTAAAAATATTTTTCCTGTACTTATCGGTTGATGTAGATCGTTAGTCAAGTGAGAGCCCTGTGAACGCTAATCATGCATATACAACCGAAATAAAGCATTTCAAGTCAAAGCTTAAATATTTTTAATGAAATTAATTACCTACCTTGTCACACATGAGAACTTAAAAATCCTCATGAAATTACACAAGATTGCTATAGATGCCACTGTCCATTGAGCTTTGCTACCAGAGAACCGCAAGGGTATTATACACAGTATCAGCAACAGGCCTAACCAGTCAAATAGGGTCATCCACTCTGAGAAATAAGAATACCTCTCTCTATAAAGATGAAGCAAAAAAGATTAATAACTCCACTGGATCATTTCCATCGGGAGAGCTTTATTCATGAACAAAAATTTTTATTTTTGTAATAAAAATGCTGAGTACATGTGGCACATTTGGTAAACCCATTGACTCCCATGAGAAACTAGGAAAAAATTTACCCTTACTATGTCTATACAATATCAAGCAGGCAAGTGATAAAAATAGAGAAAAATATCACTAAGGGGATAATTATTAGTTGATTCAACACCAAATCTTCCATTAAAAGAAGGGGTTTTTCCAAAGGAGGAACTAATAAACCAATTTTTATTCATCTGATGTAAATAATTCTCAATGCTTTTAGTTGTGTTCTCAGCATTAAAAGTCACTTACATTCTCATTTGATTCATTTCTTCACACATGTAAAAGAAAACCATGACAAGAGTGACAATCTCACAAAATCCACACAACAAGTCTGCTCCACCGCTGTACTGGGTGGGGTCTGGTTTGGTTGAACCATACAGCAGAGAAAATGACAAGAACAGCAGGAAGATGACATACAATGCCACTTGAAGGCTGAGTAAAAAGCAATTCTTTTTTCTATTAGAGGGATGAGAATTTATTTAGTTTTGGTGCACTTCACCTGTGCATTTGAGTATGTGATCTTAACTTACAAACATAATGAGAAAGGTAAAAATTATTTACCTGAGGAAAAAATGCCCATAACTTTTCCATTTTGTCTTAATCAACATTCTAACCACTGGATGTTGCAAGGCCTCCTGCAACTCAAAGCCAGGCAGAATTTTAGGGGCAATTACAATTGACAAAATCGATCATTCAAACTTGGCTTTACCTGGTAAACAATTTTCTTCACCAACAGTCTCATTTAAGTCTGATTATTCATCCAAAAGCAAAAGTGAAAAAACCTCATGTTACTCCCAAATAGTTCAGAGTTTCTTTGGTATAGATATTTCTACTTTCCTGTAGCCAAGGCAATAGATATATTTACTCATGCACTGTACGTGGTACAATCAAAGTTATAATCCTATGTACTGCTCAGTAGTTCTTTGTACTATTTATTATAGTAATATTCATACATGTTCAGGAAAACTCTTAGTTCAGGCTAGCAACTCATTGTGATAGCACCAAGATTCAAAGATACGATGCCAGCACTGTAATTGCTGACACAGAAACAGAATTAAGCCTTAACTTCTGAACACTTTCCTTCAATAAGCTTTGTTTACTTCGTCATAGACATCATCATCAAAGCTATCATTTCTTAAAGCGACATGGGATTAACTGATCATTTTGTGAGTGCAACATTCTATCCTAACACTTCATATACACTAACTTAAGATGTACCTTATTATTACTCTTTGCAATCATGTTTAAACATGACTTGTCTCCCCAGTTGAAATATTTGTTTTCTGACTCTTGATCTTGTCCTGTCAACAAAACTTTCGGAGGTTGCCCTCCCTCATCACTATCCAAGATAGCATAATAAAACTGATAGTTCAATGGATCGTCTGGGATGCTCTTCCAGACTCCTTCAATTCCTTCCTTTTCTTCTTGAGAGACATAATGGTCCTTTCGTTTTGGAAGGTAAGGCCAGTGAGGGTTTAGCATCTGGTCAAGCACAGCCACCACTGTTTTCTGTTAAGAAGGCAAAGAACATGAATAATTACTAATTATTCTATTATTTTTTAAACACATAGAAAGTTCTGTTCTTGGTAATTGATAATCAACTATCAAGAATGGAACTGTGCACAGAAAAATGTCACACACCTGCATTTCATAAGGGTTTTAATCCAAAGAACAATGAAGAAATACAACATTTAAGGGGTCATAAGTGTTTTCCTTCTGATGAAAATAAAGGCATTACAGTTAACTCAGTTTCTGTATGTTGTACGTAATTAAACTAATGATCATCCTGCATAATTCTAAACATTAAGTACTAGAATGTGTTTTAAGTTGAGACACAGAATTTCCTAACCATAGATTGACCCAAGATTCAAACTTCAAATAAGAGGTATGTAAAGACAAGTGAAATGAACCAACATTTTCAGTGTCTGTGTAACAACATCCTCAAAGTCATTAAAGGAAGAAAATGTTTTTCAATAAAAATGCAGCTCTATAAATTAGCACGTTAAGTTACTGTCCTTCTAAAAGTTGGTTCAAAGCTCTTCATGTGTAACCCACACTGTATATTGACAAAAATCATCCTGTTTTAACAAATACTACTATGGTAAACAAAGCAATTAAGCTCATACTGAGCCACCACAGATCCAAGTAAATGTTCCCACAAAACCCCATCATAGCATCATGCAACACTGCAGTATCATGATTGCGACATGATCACTATTATGTTTATGTTACATCTAGGGACACAATGGAAGAAAATTAAGGGCTGCAAACAGAGCAGTACCACTTCCCCCTATTTCCCACAATTGATCATTTACCACTAGGAAATACAATTAATTCACACAAAAGTCTCACCTTCATTTTAGGATTGGTAATGATGGAGTTCAAACTGTAGAGAGATGGCTTAGAATTTGTTGTGTCCTCACCAGCTCTTGAAGAAAATAATTTCTTGACACTTATGAAAGGAAAATTTTTGTGTAAAAATAATGAAGAAATGAATTAATGGTACCATCATCATTATGTAAACAGGTGGGAATACCACTCTGAGAGTTAAATTGGAAATTTTATGCCTACATTAAAATCATTTTGCTTGTAACCAAAAAAGAAGATTCTGAACTTTTCAACTGCCTGTGATCATTTGTATTATGTGAGTAATTTGTGTAGTAAATGATGAAAGAATCAATGCCAATGATTTGTTTCTTTTAAAAACAATCCACTCCTATCTACCTTTCATGCCACATCATCCTAACTAGATATGATGCCACCCCATCACTCTCTCCTGTTAATGCCAGCTCAACTGGTAACATGGCTCTTTTGTGGGGTCTTAGTTGACTTCGAGTAAATCCAACAAGCAGTGGAGGACATCTCTTCACAAGTGTTTTGGTAACATGTAAAAACCCAAGTTCTGCAGCATAGTGTAGTAACGTCTTCTCTGTTTTGTCTCTTTTATCTCTAAATGACTCATATCTATTGCCTGAATTCAGTTCACTTTCCAACAGAACACCCAAAAGTTGATTTACCTGTAAAAACATGACAGAACAACAAGCCTATTAAGCTGCACCTTAATGATATTAACTCCTAAGGATGTATCTCCTGTTGTATGTCTCTTATGTACCCTTTCTTACATATTCATTTAAGATGATGCTACACTGTCAAATTGCAAAATATTTTTAGGGCTTTTGTGTCTCTCTTGATGGCATCTGACTGCAATCATTTAACACAGTAATAACATACCAGCTTTTCAAGGCCTGGAAGTTTGTCAGGTCTATTTTTGTACTGTGTTGATACTGGCCACTGTTTTAGCATCACAAGAGCTGGATCCTCGCTATCGAGTTCCCCACATTTCTTGTAGTTTTGAATCATTCTTTCAACTCGCACCTCATTCATTGCTCTGCTCCATGATAATCCTTCGTTCTGCTTTTCGTGAACCTTCCGATTAACATTGCAGAGAGTTAGGTCGACGACACCGTTTTATTAGCAATAATTGTGGCATTCTACGCATTGAACACAAGCAATATTCCTGGAAATGACACTATCGCTTGCCTCTCGTGGAGGCGCTGTTAAACTCTCTCATGCTTCGTTAATTATTTATAGGTAACAAACCGTTTTAGGGCCAAAATTACTCATACATGTCCAAAACACGCTCTTTAGTATTCTTGAACAAATATTTCAACAAACAAAACAAACTGAAGTATTGGTGCGAATTGAACAATCGAAGCGGTTGCTGAAATAAAATTACGGATAGTGAGTTACTACAATTACTTATTGTAGTAACTTGGTATGTAAAGAAACTGACAAACGAGAAAACAAAATAAAGGGAAAAAAATACATAAAGTTTAATTCTTAACGAATAAGAACAAATGGCTGGTTAAAGACAATGTAAAACGAAACAGGAAAACGATCCAGCGCAGTCAAAAGATCAAGCCGAATGAATAAAATCTACGGTAAAGAACGCATACGAATAACAAAAACAAAGGAAAATTATGTGAAAAAAAGGAACAGTATATCGATGAAAGTAATTTAGGTAAAAACAACAGAACTCAATTTATGAGGGCGCAACGAAAGGAGAGATACCAATTCTTAACGAATAACGTTAAATAATTTTGGCCGCAACGAACCACCTAACGGTGAAAATAATATCTCTCCACCACTTGGAAACCTTTTGACTGATGAAGGCCGCTCTTCACCTTAATCCAGAACTCTCTTGATGTAGTGAATTCAACATCCAGCAGATCGCCGTGGTTACCATCTTCAGTTGGAGGACCTTGAAAGTCACGTCTATTGCTATCGTCACCACGCTGTAACAACTTTTCTTTTCCCATTTCTAAACAATTCATCCTCATCTAGCACATCTCGAGGATGTATTTGTCACAATGTTATATTTTGGCAGCAAAAATCTAACGGATAATTTACCCCTCGAGCCTTGTAGCAAGCTGCACGAGAAAGCTTCACGGCAACATCGGGGAATTGTACGGGCTGACGCCGTTCAGTGAGTTCATAAGGAAACTGCGAGCGGAACCGTTGGCGAACGTATCCGCTTGCTAATCATGATTGTGTGTGTGTGTTTTAACAGGGGTATCCCCGTATCCAATTTCTGTGTCCCCTCTGGGGATATTCCAGAACGCTAAAAGTGAAGTAAACAGGAGACTGGGGCAAGTAGTATGGCGTCTCGTCTAATGTTGACGAGTTGTGGACTTGTAAACTACCTTTTGAAATCAGAGAAATTACTTTCTTTAATTAAATAACTCCAGAAATGTCCGTCAGGATGGCATTTAAAGCAGGAGAACTATAAAACGTCCTTTGAAGCGTTGAGAAAAAGAGCTATGAATCAGAAGAAATGGTTCAGTTGCTTCGCTCGTAAGAGTTATACCATATCACGAGTCAAGTTCGAATCCGAGTCATGTTAGAGTCACAAGTCAAGTTCGAGTCAAATCAAATTGTTTTCTCCTTTCCTGCCTTTATTTTTTTTTCCCGCTGTAATTGTTGTTTTTGTTTTGATTTTAATGAATTCTACATCCAGAAGATTCCCACGGGTACGGGGTCAATCAAATACTCTAGCAGCGCCCAAAACTCCGCATCTCAGGACTTAAAAAATTACTGTCGCTGCCTTGTTAATATTTTGATTACACAGGATTTTGTAAATTCAAGACTTTACCCCAACCCTCTCCCGATCATCAGAACAATCATTCCCGAGAGACCCAGTGGCAAATAATTGGGCGAGAGCGAAATAATACAGTACGTCCGATTCGAGGCGGGTGTTTACTTGATGGGTGTCGCACCGAAACCGCTCTTTAATTATTCTCTCGCCCGCTCATTCAAAGGTTAGGATTAGCCAACAAAATCAATAAACTCTCCAAAATATTTCACTTCCCAGGTGCCCTAGTCTAAAGTGGCGAGGCCTTCTTTTTAAAATTTTCAAGATTTTTTTTTTCACTATTTTGTTGCCGTTTCTCGGGTGAAGTATTATATTCATGAAAACGACTCTATAATTACTTCGTTGAGCGATGATTTTGGGACGAGGAAATCAGCAAAGGGATAAGAACAGTATTCACGCTGTTAATCATCTAGAGGTCAAAAACACGAAAGAATGTAATCGCTTCTCTTCTTAAGGCGTGCTTTGCTTATTACACAAAGAAATGTATTTCATGATACATTGTGTTCATCTCAGCGGGTTTGAGATGCTTAATTGAAACCTGAAGATTCATTCGCAGTCTTTGCTGCTTATGCATGGCGTGGATAAAATTCCTCAAGGGTTGCCATTTTTCAAGCATATTTCACATTCATCACACACGCACTTTTCACGCATTTGCTTCTAATAAATATTGCGGTCACTGAAAGTTTAAAATTTCTTTTCGGCGACAGGATCTGATGTCAGTGCAGATATTGATAGGTTGGTCTCCGTTTTTTCATCTCTTTCTCACTCCCTTTCCCACGTTCTCTCGAAGCTTTCCAAACTTCTTGTTGCTGATTACGCAAATCACATTCGACTGCTTTTAAGGTCTCAAAACATAGTTCATTTACACCTTTCCAAGCCTAGTAGACGAAAATGAAATCCGTTATTGTCCTGAACACCGAGAGCGAAGGTAGTGAAGCTCATACACTGAAGAACTATTTACGGGGAAGGATGCCTACGTTAGCAGATTTGAGAGGTATCATTGATATCTTAGCTGAGGACCTGGATTTTGAAAAGCAATTTCACCGTAGTGACTGCGTCCTATTGATTGGTTCGCACCAAGCCTCGTCCCTCATTCAAAACAAGCAGCAAGAAACCGAAGGTGACTACATCACTTTTGATGGAAAGTTCATACATGAGCAGCTCACAGAAAACAAAGAGCTTGTTAGGGACAAACTGGTTATGGTTTTCTTGACGGAAAGAAAGGAGAGTGATTGGATCCCAAATGGCCTAGATCAAAAAAGAATATTTGATCTGCATAACGAAAAAATTCACAGAGGTAATCCCGCCCTAAGCCACCTTGAATATACCATAAGACGAGTACTGGGAGAGACAATGGTGGACTGGTGAAGAGACATAGTTTCATCCTCTCACGGCAGAAGACAGTTACCACTTGTGCTTCTTGAGTTGGAACGCTTGCTAAATAAAATAGAAACTGCGAAGGAAAGTGTTTTGATAGTTCGATTGAGTTAGAGATAAATTAAGTGGTTCATTTTAGTCGACGAAATAGCATATCATGATTGAATTTATTTGTGATAAGAAATGTTCCTCAGTAAAAGCACCTATGAATGAAATGACATTTGTTTATTTAATAAAAAGAACAAGTTAATCTGAAAGTATTTAGTAAGTGATTATTATAACAAGTAAAACAAATTTATTGTCGTCGTGTGTTCTGATTGGATTGATATACAAAATAGCTTGCGATAATTTCATGCCAGAGAAATGTTAACTCATTCAAACATAATTAGTATGCACCAAGTAATTTAGTAAGTAAAGTATACCATTCTGGTTTTGTGTGATAAGCAGTTCCTTGCACTCCACGACTATTGGAAGAAGGATGCAAGAGAATATGAGTGTGGAAGAAAAAAAATTAAATTGTTAAGAAAATGTTACCTCTTGCTCTTTTTTGTTTGTTTAGTTTTGTTTTTGTTTTGTTTCTGCGCCTAGTGTGCCACTTTTTGTTCTTACCACATTTTTGACAACATCTCGTGATCCACTACTGAGAAAACACGATGCCATGGAATCTATTTGTTAATTCTTTAATGGCTTCTACCGTGTTAGCTTAATAACTCTACATAGTTTCTGCCGACAAATATATGCAGGATACATATATAGACGCATTAGTGAGAGCAGACTGCATTTCATCGGAACTACATGATGGTCTCAATGGGGTGGTGATTTTCACGGCTAGCGTCTATGATTTTGGCCAATTTACGGCTAACGAATAATATCTTTCTACTGTTGTCACAAGCAATTTTTTTTACGGTTATCTTACTTTGCGTCTAACGGTTAAAATTTGTCAATTTTTACGCCTATCGGCTAAATTATTTTGGCCGTTTTGCCCCTAACGGTTAACCCCATTGAGACCCTCTTACATAATAAGGACTGACAGAGCAGATATCACAGGAATTGCTCGTGGTAGGAGTTTTGCTTCCTCTTATTAGTGTTAGTGAAGGCGACGCACACCCACAAACCCTTGAACAAAATAGTATATGTAACTCGTGATGCAAATGACAATTCGTAGCGGCAGTTTAAGTAAGTAAACGCCACAAAGGAAGTCCTTATCCACATATCTTTTGTAAAGAAAGGAAGTCTTAAATGATCGGGAGCAGGCAAGTGTTCTTAAGACAAATTTCACTCATTTCACGACATTTAAATAGCAGGAGGTACGAAACAATTGCCTATTAAAAGCAAAATGATAGGGATGATACAGAATCAGTCCAAAATTGGTAATTGCCGGATTTTGGATTGTATCCGGCCAGGAGGCTTTATACTATATTTAATTACCATGTCAAGTAATGACTACGATGGCTCCCGCACATTTCTCGCAAAGATCATGTTCGACAACACGCGAGCCAGCCAAACACACTAAACATCGCCCGATACAGTTAAATAATGTACAGTGCTCTGACGGTGCAATTTGCAACAGTTATTCTTTATTTAATTATATACCATGAAGGTTATTGTAATCACCCTAAGTGAAGCACTTACCACCGCTGTTACTTTACGGCTGAATGACTGGTTAATGAAAAAACCGGAAAAAGTTAGTCTATGGAATTAGATCCTCTATAAGATAAAACAATTTACCATCATTTTCTCTTGATCCTCTTCAAGTTGCATACGCTCTTTTTTATTATCAATATTTTTATAAGAACCTCTTTTATGAAAACTTTCAGGCTGAAAAAAACTAAAATTTTAAGAACATAAGTGTAACATCCCCAAGCTGAGAGTCAGATAAGAAAGACTTCATTTTGCCCAATTTTTTTTGCGCGAGAAGAATAAATAAAGGTAAAAGAAATATGGGCTTGTGGTCTACCGTGAGGACAACTAACTAAAATACTTAGAGACATTTTTGAGACTAGCTAATTGAGATATTATACCACACAACTTTAAGAACATATTAGGAACGTTTTCAGGCTCAATCGCAGTTTAAATAAGAACGGTCAGCCTCAACCCCAACGTGACGTTCTCATAAAAAAGTAGTGTATCTGTGGACAGTAAATAGCTCAGAGGTATGTTATTAAATTTCTGTTTTGATAAAGTAAACAGTACGTATTTCTATATGCGCGATTTCCAGCGATTCACTTCATTACATTTAAATTTGTTTTTCTACTGAGTCGTGTTCAAGGGTTTTGAACACGTACGACTAAATACTTAAAAGACAGATTTTCATAGCATGCAGGAACAATATCTGCTCTTAATCACCCTCCCCTCTCGGGTTAAAGAGTTTCAAAAGAATCTGCTCATTTAATTAGTCAAAACGTATTTAGAGGGAGTTTACTTGCCGTGTAAATGAAGTCACATAAGTGGGCCGGCCAGGTTCAGAGGATATTTAAAGAAAAAAGGGTGAAAATAAAAAATTAGCCCTTGATGATTGAAAAAGCCGCTAGCCTCTCTAAATTACTCATGTTAATGGCTATGATGTTTTAGAAGTAACTTAAAGTGTTTGACAGAATAAATATCAAAGGGCATTGCGTAATAAGTGTGATAGAAGTGTTTTTCTCTTGAGGGTGATGATAAGTGCTGGTCAAGCCACGAACTCGACAAAAATATGAGGTCGTGTGCGCATTTTAAATGAGGAAATGCTTCTGAGGAAATCGTAAAGTCAATATTCTTGGGCAATGTAAGTTTTAACGGACATTCAAAGAGAGGTTGACGTTAAAAAGAAATATCTTTCATTGCAAATACAGAAATCCAGGATGAAAGAGGAAACGATCGCTCCTTAACGGCAAAATGATGGCGACTGAAAATTTAACTGGCACACAACCAAAATCATTTGAAGAACTGATATGTTCCCCGTCATTTGCAGATGGCTTAAAACAACACGCATCTTATCTTTCAACAGTCAACTTTCTCCTTTCCCTCACGGCATTTCTTGGGAATTCTCTTATCCTTGTTGCCCTTCATAAGGAATCTTCCCTTCATCCACCGTCCAAACTCTTGTATCGCTGTCTGGCAACAACTGATCTTTTGATTGGACTTGCTACACAGCCACTCTATACCATTCATTGGATTTCTTTAGTTCGCGAAGACTGGGTTCTCTGCCGATTTGCTTTCGATACAGCCTTTATATTAGGCTATCAATTAGGTATAGTATCTTTGTTGACGTTGACGGCCGTTGGCGTGGACAGACTTCTCGCGCTGTTTTTGGGGCTACGATACAGACAAACTGTAACTTTAAAGCGCATGTATATCGTCGTAGCCACCTTTTGGGTTGTTTCTGGTGTCGGTGCTTTACTCTTCATTCTAGACTATAGTCTAACATTTTGGTATAGTTGTGCGGTCATAATATCATGTTTGATTATCTCATTCGCTTCCTACACGAAGATTTTCTATAGTCTTTGTCATCGTCGCATTCAAACGCAAGATCGTGTTCAACAACAACCGAGGGCACCAAATGCACTGAACATCGCACGATACAAAAAGGCCGTGTACAATGCACTGTGGGTGCAGTTAGCATTAGTTATTTGTTATGTCCCATATATTGTAGTGGCAATTTTAATAGCTTCAAGTGAAACCTATTCGTCACAATTAATCGTCAGTTCGCGAATAGTGCTTGTTTTCGTCTTCTTTAATTCGTCTTTAAACCCGTTTCTTTATTGCTGGAAGATTAGCGAAGTAAGGCAAGCAGTAATTGAAACAATTAGACAAGCACTTTGCTGTCCATGCAGTTGATTCCTCTTCTCTCTAACTATATATTTTTCTGATATTTCCGAAGACAGTATTGAACTTGCAAGAGGTGCCACAGTAACGTCTTTCTCTTTTGAAAAACTGCAGGACAGAAGACAAAAAATTGAAAACATTAATGATTCGTTTTATGGTGGTAACACATGAAATGGAAGAGCGATTCATACTTAAAAAAATGTGTCCTCTATGGACACAAAAGAGAGCTTTCTTTTCCCTATCTTCATAGAATTCCAAGTATTGAAGAGCTGTGACAATAGACCAGTTTACTCCTTTTTTTTTTTTTTGCAGCTCAACTATTGTCCTACGAGTTTTGTCACAACTCTAGTTTTAGGCTTTATTTCGTTATGTTATTTAAAGAAAATAATACTAATTGATAAAATGAACGTGGATGTTTTTGTCGCTTTTAAAAGCTATGGAAGTGAGTGGGTGAAATAAATTTGGCCATTGGCGGCTTTTACAGGTTTCTCTTGTATGATCGGTCATCTTTCCCACAAATTCATTTACATTTTAAGGAGAAAAAACAAAAGAGAATGAGAAATACAGTCAGTATTCAAGAAGGTTCAGTATAAAGAAAAAAATAAATGCTCACCGCACAGTATGTTACCAAAATGTCGCAAATTGTGTGCGAATTATAATCAGTATTTCAATATCTATGACCTCCGAGCCATTACCATCCGTAAGTTTCACTTTTTTTCTCTTTGCCAAACTGTGTTTGAAAGCTTAACCGGAGGTGAGTAACCCAAAAACATGAAATTGTTATATAATAGGGTATATCAAGAAAAAGGGTTTTTATTGATGATATAATGACGAAAGAAATTTTTTCTTTCGAGCTGTCAAAGAACAGGTCTACAATTTTATTAATGTTTGCACTCGAAACTAACTCCTCTCTTATTTGCAGTTGAATCGAATTTTACCGACTTATTTAAACAGCAATTGTTCAGTGATAAGCAGAGGAGCTCAATTCAGAGAGATGGCCCCGACAAAGGACCTCAAAAAAATATTTAAGCTTGAGGTGACCAAGTAACTCTGTAAGAATTGATATCACTCTTTGATGGTTAATGTCGTTTCGTGATACAATGTACAGTGAAAGTCACGAGGGGTCTTTGAAAGTATAAAAATGGAAAAGTATCACAAGAATTGATAATTTTTAAAGAAGTATTTTCTATTATGAGCGATGACTAATGCAAGGCAAAATTGCCAGCTTAAATTACGCGCATTACAAATGTGTTTAATGCTATTGGGAACACTTGATAAAAATGGAAATAGGCAGGTACCGTTTTCCCAAACGACTGCTTGCTGTAATTGCAGTTAACAGAAAAAGAATACAGAATGAAGGCAACAACAAATATAACAGGAGGAGAGAAGCTCACTATGACCTTTAAAGAACTGGTATTTTCCCCGGCGCTGGTGATTGGATTACAGTGACACATACTTAAATTTAAACAGCCAATTTTCTTCTTTCCCTCAAGCCATCTCTTAGGAATTCCCTCATCATTGTTGCTTTTAACAAGGAATCTTCCCTTCATCCGTCATCCAGACTCTTCTAGCTGATCTGTTAGCTTTTTTGTAGTCCATCCTTTTGCAGCTAATTTTGATCATGAGGTGTTGAATCTCGGATATAACTTTACGATATACTTGCGACATCAGACTGGATGTCTGTGTCTTCCTTTCAAATGAAATCTCTCATGAGTGTTCTCTATGGATAAGTGAGTCTTAAGAAGTCAGTTTTAGAAGCATTAATACGAGTAGGAACTACATGAGTATCTAACTCTAAGCATAGCTTGTCTGATTGTCTGCTTTACCATTTGTCAGAGTTCACTAATCCTCCAATAATTACGAGGCGGATTTAACGTCGAGTTAAAATAAAGTAAGGTCATTGCCATTTCCATAGTACTGGCTAAATACGACTGATGATGAGCGATGATTATTGCTACCTGAACAAATGGTACAATACATATAAAGCAACTAATGCAAACTGTACCCACAGTACACTGTCCTTCTGTATTGCACCATATTCAGTGTATTTGCTTGGCAAGGCTGCGGTTGAACATGATCTTGTACATTAGTGTGATGTTGAATGAAAACATGGAAAATCTTTGTGTGCGAGGCGATAGAGATTATTATTTTGAGAGGTGGACCTGTACTGCCTCACCAAAAGGGTATTTGAGGATCTAAAACAAAGCATAAAGCAGGGACAAGAGTAACAACTCAAAAGGCGGCTACAATGATATATGTGCGCTTCAAAGTTACAGTTTGTGTGTACTCTGCCCCACCCGCATTGCGGCAAGTCTGTCTACAATTATAACTGTCATCGTCGATAGAGACACTCCACATAATGCACAACTGTTCATGCAGGCCTTGAGATGAGTCCTTCGCGCCACTGACCAAGAATTCAACGTTCGTGAACAAAAACATCCATAAAAGGCTCAGAGAGTATGTGCAGCAAGACCAACCAACAGATGAGAGTTTAACAAGAGTTTTACAAGAGTTTAGGCTGCGGATGGAGGGAAGATTCCTGGTGAAATAGATTGATTGTTGCCGTAATCCACCTGAAAAAGCGGGAAAACATAGCAGTTCTTCAAATTGTTTAGTTCACATTCCAAGTCTGTGTCCGTAGAGTATATGAGTCGTTTCTTTGTAAAATTTTGTGGAAGAGACGTTTACTCCGGCAAAAAGTTCCAATCGTAATTTGAATAAATACAACTGCTATTCAATATCAATATCGCCATCGAACTCTATAATCTTCTCATATTCAATAACATTTGGCTGTTTTTTCTTTTTCTCGAAAAGCCACGAAAAGATTACAACTATAAACATGAAATCATGTACAACTCGAATGATCTAGCCTTAAGGACAGCGAAGTGCTTGTCTGATTGTCTGCTTTACTGCTTGTCTTATTTCACGAACCTTCCAGCCATAGAAAAATGGATTAAATTTTAACTGTGAAAGGTTGCCGAGCACATTCAGCGTAGGAAATTTTGATCTAAACACCACAAACGATTCAATAGCCCCCTTCAGTAGGGTAATGTTCTTGCAAATTATTGGTCAATTTAGAGAGCCGTGTTACACTGTACGGCACGCTTAATTCAAAACTTTGTTTGAATTTAAATCCGCCCTCTAGTTAACCCTTTGACTCCCAAGATCTGATTATGAATTCTCTCCTCTAGCTGCTACACTCTTCCTTCTAAATTAGTTCGGAGAATTTGGTGTTAAATCAAGAAAAACAACCTCTATGCGATAAGTTTAAGTACTCTTATTACCTGTTTGCCAGATAGTGTATGGATATTATAGGGAGAAGTTACATGTTAATCACTTCTGGGATTTAAAGGGTTAAACCCAGAGGTAAAGTAAATGTCTCATCAACCTCGTTTTCTTCACGGTTTTTTTTCGTTTTCGAATTGAGTGTTGAATAAAATAGCTCTGTTAAGTGGTGCTTTGTAATATCTTGTTAAGGCTTCTCTGTTTAATTGTTCCATTCCTGATAAGCCTTCCACTCCATCGCAAACTATTGGTGAAAAGAAAAAGAAGACGTTTCCTGCAGTGCGAACAATTTTCCTTGCCTTCGTGTTATTGAGAAAAATAGACAAGAACTTATTTGCACTGGTAACGCCTTTTGGTTGATTCAATACAAAACAGGAAAGTTTTTCTCTTCCAGTGCTGCCCGGCCACTTTTCATTGGCCACCTAACCATCAAATAATTCGCTCCCTGTTTTCCAGGTCATTCTTCACCAAATGGCGGCAAAAGAGTCCAAGAACAAGTCAATGAAATCTCTCAGCGGAGTTCCACTGTGTGTAACGCGTTTCGCGCAGCTGTAAAAGTAACAGAATGCGCGTTCTAGCCGCATTCTATCCATGTCTGTTTCCACCGCGGACAGCAAAGTAGCTCAACTTGAAAACAACGTTCTTTTATTTTTCTTTTCCCAGTATTGATTTCTTCGTTGAGCAAATAAAAAAATAAGTAAATAACTGTGTAGCCCACTTGAAATAACACACACAAAAATTGTTCGATGGTTTGTAAACGGTACTTTAGAGTTACTTCAATCAAGTACTTGTTATTGTTTTTATTTTCTTTACTAATTTTCCTGTTCACACGGTGAATGAAACAATATCATAATGAACTTGGACTCGTCGTTTTTCCTTTGAGTTATCAGTAGTCCACTGAGTTCTTCGTGTTCGTTCAGATTAATTCTCACAACAAATGCTTTTTTCCTGCTTCATGTGAAACTCGATCCGTAAAAAGGAGACTAAAACGAGCTTCAAATGACCAAAGGTTGTGTTCAAGAATTGGAGCAGCCTGCGAGAAGGTCTTCATCATCATCGCTGGAGGACGCGCGTTTCTCCGCCCGCGAAAAGATTTGAGATAAATCAAGGAGAGGTTTGCCGGGGGCCTGGCACCTAACTTTCGGCGCCAGACCCCTTGCAGACCTCTTCGCTGATTCGCGTTGCCCAAGGCCCCCTACTTTCCTGCGAGCGAAGAAACGCTTGTGCCGAAGTGCTAATAATGAGGGCCTAGTGACAAGTTAGAATGGAACGGAACATGATATTCCCGTAGTTGAGCCAATATGTCTAACACTGTTCACCCTCTTTCAGGTCTCATCTGTTTTACCATCTTTCTCATCACATCCCTGGGATTAAGAGTCGCAAAGAAGAAAATTATTGAGATACAGCAGGGAGATACGGCAGCCTAATGCAAGGAGATGTAAATGAGCGGACCTAATTTCAGTTCAAGAATCATCCATACCTTATCGCGTTAAGCTTTTCTTCCACTGATTCCCAAGGATTGCGATCTTCACTGAATTCAAGGAGCTCTAGAGCAATGTAAATGTGAGCACGGAAAATATTCAGTTTTCTTAATAGTGTAAGTAAACCATTAAGCTGAGAGAGAGTATATTAGCCTTCAGTGGCCAAATAACCAGCTCTTCTAGTCCTCATCTGTTTTCTACTTTAAATCCAAACAAAGATATGCATAATTTGGTCATTACCTTATCGTGTAAATGAGAATTTTACGCGTTCATAGCTGGTCGAGTTTTTATGATATCGAATTTACTCCATGGCCGCGGAAATGAAGTTAAACTATTGCCAAGCTAAATATTATTGTAATGGACTCTCGAACAAAATGCTCATCCATAGTCTTCGTTCCAGCCCTTCAATCCATCTCATCGCGAATTTAAGCGAGCTCAAATTACTACAAACCTTCCCCAAGTTTCTTTTCACTGATCCATTCTCCCTCTATGTAATACTTCACGCGTAAATTCTGCAACGAAGATAAGAAGACAAGTGAAAAGACGCAAAAAAAAAAAAACATTCATACATTAACTGAACAGACATAATACGTTTTGAGCTAATTGAAATAATATAACCAAAATTGAGTATCCACCACTGCAGTTTGTCGCTTTTGCAAGTAAAATAAGAAACTTGTTTTTCGTGGGGTTCACCTTCTCAGGGGTTGATAGCTTGTCACTCACTTAAGGCTCCCGCTTTTTTGCCTTTAATTACTCAGTCTCGCTCACGCAAACTAACTGAAAACGTGTGAGCACATGCCCACCTACACGAGGACACGTTACAATGCGCGCCAACGCCTCCATCTTAAACCCGTCATCTCCGTCTACGTACCAGAAAAGGAAATCTCTCCATACGAGTGAGCTGTAAAATACGATCCACATCATACTCCACACGGGCGACTTTCTTGGCCTGAATGTAAGTTGTGCTCATCTGTGCTATGAGTATGTTTAGTAAAATCACAAGTACAGTTCCCATGTACGCTAGCATCAACAGAGTGGAGAGCCAACTGCAATAGAACAAAGATTCACAATAATTGCGGTAAAAGTATAGGGATTACCATATTATAACAAAGGGGAAACGCATTGCATATAATACTGATTGAATGAAACAATGTCAGTATCTAAGCAACTACACACCTTCCCCTCCCCTAACTTAACAACATTGAAATGTAAGTCAGGGCTAATGCTGGGTCAGGGGAGGGGTAGGTATACTGTTGATCCATACTGGTCATATAACTGGGTCAGTCACTCACTTGAAGCTTGAATAATCTGCCACAATAGATCGTTGCTCAGAGAGAGCAAGAACACCGCTCAACAATACATCTCCAAAGCCACTGATTATGAAGAATAGATTTAAAACAACGTAAACAACATTTCTGAATATATGAACGTCGAGTAGACTAAATAAGTCGTACTGGCAATTGCATTGTATTTCTCCGAAACTGGACGAGCGTTTTCAAAATTGGAAAGCCTAAAGCATTATACATTTTTCTTCCCACAGAATAACTCAGATTAAGCTCAGACAAGACGAAATGAGAAATAAATAGAATTACTAGATGTACCTTAATTCTTGGTTTTGATTGGATGAACGGAGAGATAAAAATAAAGCCCCACAGAAGGGAAGGAAAATCGCAAAAAAAACTGCCATGAATCTTGTCAAGTCTTGCTGAATGATCTTAGCCAAGGTTTTCGTGTATAGTCCTGTAGTCCTGGAAAAGATGAAAGTCTAAGTAAGATAATTGAACTATGCACAACCGAAATAAAGCATTTCAAGTCAAAGCTTTAATATTTTTAATGAAATTAATTACCTACCTTGCCACACATGAGAACTTAAAAATCCTCATGAAATTACACAAGATTGCTAAAGATGCCACTGTCCATTGAGCTTTGCTACCAGAGAAACGCAAGGGTATTATACACAGTATCAGCAACAGGCCTAACCAGTCAAATAGGGTCATCCACTCTGAGAAGTAGGAATACCTCTCCCTAGAAAAATTAAGCAAAAAAGATTAATCACTCCATTGGATCATTTCCGTTGGAAGAGCTTTATTCATGAACAAAAATTTTTATTTTTGCAATAAAAATGCTGAGTACATGTGGCACATTTGCTAAACCCATTGGTAAAAATGTGATAAAAATAAAGAAAAATATCACTAAGGGGATAATTATTAGTTGATTCAACACCAAATCTTCCAGTTAAAAGAAGGTGTTTTTCCCAAGGGGGAACTAACAAACCAATAGTCATCTAATGTAAATAATTCTCAATGCATTTAGTTGTGTTCTCAGCATTAAAAATCACTTACATTCTCATTTGATTCATTTCTTCACACACATAAAAAAAGACCATGACAAGAGTGACAATCTCACAAAATCCACACAACAGGTCTGCCCCACTGCTGTACTGGGTGGGGTCTGGTTTGGTTGAACCATACAGCAGAGAATATGACAAGAACAGCAAGAAGATGACATACAATGCCACCTGAAGGCTGAGTAAAAAAAAAAAAAGGTTTACATTGATAGCCTAAGTTTACAAGGAACAAGATTCCAACAATATTAAAAAAATTAAAAATTGAACATGATGAAGACTAAATTTAGGTTAGGTCATTACAAACAATTAAATAAGAATGGTCTTTTTTCTATTAGAGGGATGAGAATTTATTTGGTTTTTGTGCACTGCACCTGTGCATTTGGGTAAGTGATCTAAACTTACAAACATTGTCAGAAAGGTAAAAATTATTCACCTGAGGAAAAAGTGCCCATAACTTTTCCATTTTTTCTTAATCAACATTCTAACCACTGGATGTTGTAAGGCCTCCTGCAACTCAAAGTCAGGCAGAATTTTAGGGACAACTATAATTAACAAAATAAATCATATAAACTTGGCTTCACCTGGTAAACAATTCCCTTCACCTATAAAACAATTTCATTTTAGTCTAATCTACTCATCTAAAAGCAAAAGGGAAAGACCTTGTGTTACTGCCAAATATTTCAGAGCTTCTTTGGTGTAGATATTTCTACTTTCCTGTGGCTGAGACAATAGATATGTTTACTCATGCACTGTAAGTGGTACAATCAAAGTTATAATCCTTTGCACTGCTCAGTAGTTCTTAAAGTATATAGTTATTTACACATGTTCAGGAAAACTCTCAGTTCAGGCTATTAATTCATTGTGTTTTTAGCATCAAACCTCAAAGATATGACACCAGCCCTGTAAAATCCCTGATGCAGAAGCAGAACTAAGCCTTAATGTCTGAACACTTTCCTTCAATTAACTTTGTTTTCTTCATTCTTTATCATTGTAAGCATCATTATCATCACTATCATTTCTGAAAGCAACATGGGATTAACCAATGACATCTTGTGAGTAAAATGTTCTATCCTCACAATTCATTCACAATTACACTAACTTAATATGTACCTTATTATTGCTTTTTGCAATCATGTTTAAACATGACTTGTCCCTCCAGTTGAAATATTTGCTATCTGACTCTGCGTGTCCTCCTGACAACAAAACTTTTGGAGGTCGCCCTCCCTCATCGCTATCCAAGATAGCATAATGAAAGCGATAGTTCAATGGATCTTCTGGGATGGTCTTCCAGACTCCTTCAATTCCCTCTTTTTCTTCTTGGGAGACATAGTGGTTCTTTCGCTTTGGAAGGTATGGCCAGTGAGGGTTCACCATCTGATCAAGCACAGCCTCTAATGTTTTCTGTCAACATTTCAAATTCCATAAAAAAAAATAATTCACATATTTTATTCAACATATACAAAGTTCTTGTCTTAGGTGATGACTATTTTCTATAATCTGGAACAAAGCTTCCACTTTGCACAGGTTTAAAGTCAGACATTAGTACTCTGAAAGAACTTGAATGCACCAGCAGTATAAGTAAAGGCTTCTGAAAAATTAGAGCTTCAAAAAATCACATCACATTTATTACTAAATATTAACAAAGACCATATGTAACAAACAAGACTGTTTATTATCTATGCTTCAGTAAATCATTCCATCTATACAAAAAGTCTCACCTTCATTTTAGGATTGGCAATGATAGAGTTCAAACTGAAAAAAGATGGTTGAGGATTGGTAGTTTCATCATCTAGTCTCCAAGAAAATAAACTCTGGACACTAATGGAAAAAGAACTTTTGAAGTACAAAACTGATGCAACTGTAGTAAAAATTATTTATATGAAGCAACTGATATTATCACTATGGCGGCAAATGGGGGATACAGTTACAATCAATATTGAAAATCAGATTCAGCTGAGGGCCAAAATAATTGTTCAAAAACCAGGAAATGTACTATGAATAAATTGATCTGCATGAAAAAAAATTACCTATGACCACACAAAAATGCTGAAATATTCAACTCCTTTGTGTGGATTTAAAAGAACCATTTTCCATAGCTTTACATTATATCAGGGAGTAATTCGCTCTCATTTACCTGTCATATTGCATCATCCTGATCAAATATGCTGCCACCTCATCACTCTCTCCTATTAATGCAAACTCAACTGGTAGCATGGCTCTTTTCCTGGGTCTTAGTTGACTTTTACTGAATGCAGCTAATAGTGAGGGACATTTCTTCACAAGTGTTTTGGTGACATTTAAAAACCCAAGTTCTGCAGCATAGTGTAACAATGTCCTCTCCATTTTGTCTTCTTTATCAATGAATGCCTCATATCTTTTGTCTGAATTCAGTTCACTTTCCAAAATAACCTCTAAAAGTTGATTTATCTGGAAGACAAAAGAAAATGCCAGCATGTGCAAGCCAAATCTATCAAACTGTAACATAATCTTTGGAGTGGGGGACCCTCAATCTGGGTGACTACTCCATCTCCTAAATTATGATAAAATACTATCATGTTGCAAAATATGTTTGGGTATATTTCCCATAATTTAGCATAAACATACCAGCTTTTCAAGGCCTGGAAGTTTATCAGGTCTATCTCTATACTGTTCAGCTGCAGGCCACTTTTTTAACATCAGTAGAACTGGGTCCTCACTATCCAGTTTCCCACACTCTTTATAGTTTTGGATCAATCTTTCGACTCGCACCTCATTAATTGCTCTACTCCAACACAATCCTTCGCGCTGCCTTTCATGAACCTTCAGGTTAAGAATTGCAGTCGGTGAGCTGAATTTTTTAAACGCTAATAAGAGCAGCAACCTGATCAATGAACAGCCACATAACAGTTAACAGTCACATACCTTTCTTTAATGGGTAGGAGTAATCAAAATTACTTATTGTAATGCTCTATTAGTAATTTATCAATAGTTTCTAATCGCCTGTCTTCAGAATTTCAACACGCAACATCAACTTTTGCACTTTACATTTTCTCGTTACCTTAATCCAGAACTCTCTCGAACTGGTGAATTTCTCATCGAAGAAAACTTCATGTTTATAAACTTTAGTTTGAGATTTCTGATCGTCATCGCTATTTCCCTCCTCTCCACCCTCTAACGACAATTCTTTTCTCATCTTCCGATAATTTATCATACGCTAGCAATGTGCTACATATATTTCAATGCCCCTTTTTCGCCAAGGAAATTAGAGCAACAAGTGTTGTTCATTTCTTTGCCCCCTTAAGCAACAGAGCTTGAAAAGACAAGCGCGCATGGCAGTTTGGGGTGGCAGAGCCGCAGCAACTGTGAGGAAGCCGCGAGAGGAGTGGAAAAGAGAAAAAGTTAGGTAGTGCCACTGCAGGCATTGTTGTCATTGTTGTTGTTTTTTTTTTCCCTGTCTTTTTTCTTCGGTCTTTCCCACGGGATTACCAATACTGCTCTGTTAGTAAATGTGCTTGGGAAACACAGAATTCTTTTCTTAATATACAAATTCAAGACTTTCTCTAATTATCTCAAAATCATGGGATCAGCAAACGAAAAACAAAAATATTTGCAAAATTTTTTACTTCCCCATTGCCATGGTCTTTACTGATCAACGCCACATATTTGCGTTTTTATATCTGTCATTAACTCCTTGGGTGATGTTGAAAATGTATGAAAACTACCCCCTACATCTTCCGAAGAACAACATTTGAGGGCAAGACTTAGAGAATGCATGATACATGGGTACGAGTAGATAAGGAATTTCTCTTCGAGAGTTTAATTGAATCTCTCACCCGTTCGCTGTGCTCACTCGTGAGATATCTTTGGCTCGTTTGGTATGTATATTATAATATTATATTATTTTACAGTTTTTGCTGCTCAAACATAGCATGAATGAAATTCCTTAAGGGTTTCACTTTTTTGCATGCATTCCGTATCTATTACACGCTTACTTCACACATTCACCTCGGATATTTATTGCAGCTTCTGAAAGAATTTGATTGCCAGTAACAAGCGTCAAAATTTGAAGTCAGCGCACATATCGGTAAGTACAGTCTCCGTATCTTTTATCTCTCTCTCTCTCCCTCTCAATCTCCCTCTTGTGGCTGTTCAAACTACTTGTATCTGCAGCTGGCTATAGTGCTTTTCAAAGACACAAAATAAACGTCCACTTATATATTTTTTTCTTAGGCCTGGTATTCAACTTGTCAATAGTCAGAAGCTGCACCTTCGAGACGAAAATGAAATCCGTCGTTGTTCTGAACACCGAAAGCGACAGCAGTAAAGCTCATACACTCAAGAACTTCTTAAGAGGCAAAATGCAAGATATGCCGGCAAACTTGAGAAGTATAATCGATATCTTAGCAGAGGACCTGGACTTCAAGAAGCAATTTCATCGCAGTGATTGTGTCCTGTTAATCGGATCGCACCGAGCCTCGTCCCTCATTCAAAGCAAACAGCAAGAAACCGAGGACGAATTCATCACCTTCGACGGAAAGTTTATACATGACGAGCTGACAGAAAACAAAGAACTTGTCAGGAACAAACTGGTTATGGTTTTCTTAACGGAAAGAAAAGCGAGTGATTGGATCCCAAATGGCCTAGATGAGAAAAGAATATTTGATCTGCATAACGAAAAAATTTACAGAGGTAATCCCGCCCTAACCCACCTTGAATATACCATGAGGAGAGTACTGGGAGAGACAAAGCTGGATTGGTAAAAAGAAAACAGGTTGTCTTCTGACAGCAGAAGCCAGTTGCTGCTTGCGGACTTGTTGATTAATAATTATACAAGTGATGATCAATTAGTATTGTAGTAAGTTAAAGAAAATTGTCGTTATATGTTTTGTGTTTTAAGACGTTTCCTCGTGCGCAAAAACTTTTAAATGGAATGTATACGAAATAACTTGTGATTTAATGCCAGAAAACTGTTTATTCCTCCAAACATATAACTAGCATGTATCAAGTAATTTAATGAATAAGATATACAATTATGGTTATGTGTGATAAGCAGTTTCTTCCATTCCAAGACTATTGAAAGGAGGACGACATGTAAAAAAACATTGAGTGTTGAAGAACAAAAAACATTAAATTGTTGAGAAAATGTTATTTTCCAAAGGTTTTTCTCGTCTTTTTAAGCGTTAGACATTTTGTATTTCGTAAAACAATGTATGTGAGCTGATCAGGAGGTGCCAATTCACAAGCTGGCACCTAATATAGCTGAATCAGCGAGCTCCCCTAGGTCATTGCATTCCTCATCATTTCTCCATGATGGTGTAATATGGTACAAAACGTCAAAAGAAAGATAAGAAAAATTCTAATAAAAGTGTGGACCACCTTCAATAAAGAGAATATCAACTGTTGATATTCTCTTGCCCTCAATAGATGATATCGGCATCGGCTCTCCCCTTCGAATAACATCGCTTCTCTTAAAGTAAAATTGATTCCTCATTGTTTCGAGAAAATATAGTGCTTTTTCTTTAGTAATAGGGTAACCACGGCTTCAAATCTAATTTCTGAACTTCCAAATAGAGAAGTTTTCATGTTTTTGAAAAGCAGAAAAACATATATTTTCATTGAGCCCTTAAGTCCATTTTTTGGCCTGTAACTGTCCGTTCAAACGACACAAACAAATGCCGTTCTGGTTATCAAAAAAGAATCAAAATTCCGACTGATACCTTTCTTCGTAGCTGCCAATTACTCACACAGGTCGTCTTGAGTTGAACGAGTAAGGAGCGAGACTCTTTCGTTACAGGCAAGCAAACAAAGATTCAGTATAGCGACGTTCAGAGTAGAAAATAAAATCAGAAATATGCTTATAAAAAAGTTTAATAGTAATAGTCACGATGTTTGGAGTAGTTCTGTCTACAGCAAGAGAATTATCTTGCTCTACAGTTAAAATGCAATTTATATAGCCACTGGCCACAAATATCAGAAATCCGTCGAGAGTTCAACAAAATTTCATAATTCACAGTTTATCTTTCCTAAACGACCCTTTTGATGAACCTTTGTCAAAAATTATATCAAAAGGTTCTATCGCGTTTTCCTTTTTTCCGAAAAAATCGAAAAGTTCAAAATACGCCTAAATGGCTATTGTCCACCCCGCAAAACAATGAAAAATTATGCAACTTCAGCAACTTCGTACACCACAACGCGAAGCCTTTCCGTTTTGAACCTTTGCGTGCTTAAAAATTATCCTTTCGCCTTTTTGGAAACAAAAATTTCTTTTTATGTTGTTTCGTTTAAGTGTGCATAGCGACCCGTTGAAATAATATATCTTTGTTGTCTTTTTCGCGGAGGTAAAATAAAGGTCAACTTTATAGGCCCATAACAAGGTCTGCCATATATATTAAAAAATCATAAAATTAATCACCTTAAAGTTTGGTCGGTGTAGTATAATTCATTCTCGTTTATCAATTAAGTAGCCGGTTGCCCTGTCAGATTTTGAAATAATCAGAAAAAAAAACTTGGAAAACGGAAATACAACTTACCCTGTATTAGAGTAAACTATATATAACTACTGTGAATCCAACAACGTAATAAATACAGAGCAGATATCACATGAATTGCTAGTGGTTTCCTTTCATAGTAAGTTAAAGTCTGTACTAAAGCAATATGGCTCACCCAGCACGAGCTCATCCCGGTTTCTTTAGGATGAAGCATGGGGTACCTGCTGAAGGCAAAGTTACCCCTCGGCATATTATCAGGCTTACCTGACAATTCCCTGGTACCCATTTCTGCTCTAGGGTGAAGAGAGGCACTGTAAGAGTAGGGTGTTTTTCTTAAGAACACAAGACAATGACCCAGCCCCGTCTCGAACCCAGACCTCTCGACCCCGAGTCCAGCGTACACGTTTCCTTTCAAGAGCAATAATAAATTCGAGGCACACCCACAAACTCCTGAACAAAATTGCACATAATTAGCGACGCAAATGACAGTTCGTACCAACAGTTTAAGTGAGTAAACGCCACAGGAAGTCCTTCTGTTAATATCTTTTTTTTAAGAAAGGAAAGCTTAAAAGATTGGGAGTAGGTAAGTGTTATAAGACAAGACATCACTCGTTTTCACAACATTTAAACAGCAGGAGGAACGAAACAATTGCCTTTTAACAGCAAAATGATAGGGACAATACGGAAGCCGTCAGAAGTTTGTTAATGCATTGTATCTGGTCTCGAAGCTTTATCAGTAATTTAAATGACCATGTCTAGTTATCTCTACGATGGCTGCCAACGCAAACATTTCCCGCAAAGATCATGTTCGACATCAGCCGAGCCAGCCAAACACGATTAACATCGCCCGATACAATAAGACAATGTACAGGGCTCTGTGGGTGCAATTTGCAACAGTGGTTCTTTATGTACCATTTAATTACCATAGCGGTTGTTGTGATCAGCCTGGGTATGACATATCAACCATATTTAATCATAAGTGAAGCACTTAGTACCACTGTTAGTTTGCTTTAACTCTTCTGTTTAAAACCGTTCTTTTCTACTGAATGACTAGTTAGTGAAAAAAGCGGAAAAGTCAGTCAATGGAAGTAGATTCTCTTCAATAGAAAATAATGTCCCATCATTTTCTTTAGATCTTCTTCGAGTTGTGTACACTCTTTTCATAAATATATATATATATATATATATGTATATGTATACGTATATGTATATGAACCTTTTTTGTGAGAACGTTTAGGCCGAAATTAACAAATTAAACTAAGAACATATCCAAACTGAGAGTGAATTAAGAACAACTTTTTTTCGCTCATTTTTTTTTTTTTTTTTTTTTTTTTGTGTGCGAGAAGTATAAAAAAAGGTGGAAGAAATATAAAACTGTAGTCTACCAGGACAATTATCTCAAAAACTTAGGGACATTTTTGTGATTAATTTATTAATATACTATACCACACAACTTTGGGAACATATTAAGAACGTTTTGAGGCTCAAATATAAGAACGGCCCCAAAATTAGAAGTTCTTATTCCAAAAAAAAAATGTATCTGTAAACCTCATATGGCAAAGAGGTATCTTATTAAATTTTGGTTTTAAGAAAGTAATCAGTACGTATTTCTACGTGCAAGGTTTCCATGCGATTTCCTCCGTTATATTTAAATTTCTTTTTCTACTAAGACGTGTTCAAGGGTTTCAACACGACTAAATACTTAACAGGAAGATTTTTCTGGCATGCAGGAACAATATCTACTCTTAATCACCCTCCTTCTCGAGTTATAGAGTATCAAAAGAATCTGCTTATTTAAGTTTTTAGAGGGAGTTTTCTTGCCGTGTATACGTCGTCACATAAGAGGGCCGGCCAGTTTCAGAGGGAATTTAAAGGGAAAAGGGTGAAAATTAAAATTAGAAAATTAATGATTGAAAAAGCTGTTAGACTCTCTAAAATTACTCGTTTTAATGGCTTTGGTGTTTTAGAAGTAACTTAAAGTGTTTTACAGAATGAATATCAAAGGCAATCGCTCAATTAGTGTTTTAGAAGTGTTTTTCTCTCGTGGGTGATGTTAAGTGTTGGTAAAGCCTCGAACTCGATATAAAAATTAGGTCGTGTGCGCATTTTAACTGAATAAGGACATGCTTCTAAGCAAGTCGTCAAGTCAACATCCTTGGAAAAAGTAAGGTTTACCTGACATTCAAAGAGAGGTTGATGTTAAAACGAAATATCTTTCATTGCAAATACAGAAATCCAGGATAAAAGAGGAAATGATCGCTCCTTAACGGCAAAATGATGGCGACAGAAAATTCAACAGTAACTGACAAACAACCAAAATCATTTGAAGAACTGATATGTTCCCCATCATTGGCAGATGGCTTAAAAAAACACGCATCTTATCTTTCAACAGTCAACTTTCTCCTTTCCCTCACGGCATTTCTTGGGAATTCTCTTATCCTTGTTGCCCTTCATAAGGAATCTTCCCTTCATCCGCCATCCAAACTCTTGTATCGCTGTCTGGCAACAACTGATCTTTTGATTGGACTTGCTACACAGTCACTCTATACCATTCATTGGATTTCTTTAGTTCGCGAAGATTGGATCCTCTGCCGATTTGCTTTCGATACAGCCTTTATATTAGGCTATCAATTAGGTATAGTATCTTTGTTGACGTTGGCGGCCATTGGCGTGGACAGACTTCTCGCGCTGTTGTTGGGGCTACGATACAGACAAACTGTAACTTTAAAGCGCATGTATATCGTCGTAGCCACCTTGTGGGTTGTTTCTGGTGTCGGTGCTTTACTATTCATTCTAGATTATCGTCTATCGTTTTGGTATAGTTGTGCGGTTATAATATCATGTTTGATTATCTCATTCGCTTCCTACACGAAGATTTTCTATAGTCTTTGTCATCGTCGCATTCAAAGGCGAGATCGTGTTCAACAACAACCGAGGGCACCAAATGCACTGAACATCGCACGATACAAAAAGGCCGTGTACAGTGCACTGTGGGTGCAGTTAGCATTAGTTATTTGTTATGTCCCATATATTGTAGTGGCAATTTTAATAGCTTCAAGTGAAACCTATTCGTCACAATTAATCGTCAGTTCGCGAATAGTGCTTGTTTTCTTCTTCTTTAATTCGTCTTTAAACCCATTTCTTTATTGCTGGAAGATTAGCGAAGTAAGGCAAGCAGTAATAGAAACAATTAGACAAGCACTTTGCTGTCCATGCAGTTGATTCGTCTTCTCTCTAACTATATATTTTTCTGATATTTCCTAAGACAGTATGTAAAATTGTGGCTGTAAGTGGAGAAGACTCAAGGAAACTCAACTGAACTTGCAAGAGGTGCCACAGTAACGTCTCTCTTCTCTTTTGAAAAACTGAAGGACAGAAGGCAAAAAACTGAAAACATTAATGATTCGTTTTATGGTGGTAACACATGAAATGAAAGAGCGATTCATACTTTAAAAAAATGTGTCCTCTATGGAGACAAAAGAGAGCTTCTTTTCCCTATCTTCGTCGAATTCCAAGTATTGAAGAGTTGTGACGATGGACCATTACTTCTTTTTTTTTTTTTTTTTCAGCTCAAGTATTGTCCTACGAGTTTTGTCACAACTCTAGTTTTAGGCTTTATTTCGCTATGTTATTTAAAGAGAATAATACTAATTGATAAAATGAACGTGGATGTTTTTGTCGCTTTTAAAAGCTACGGAAGTGAATGGGTGAAATAAATTTGGCCATTGGCGGCTTTTACAGGTTTCTCTTGTATGATCGGTCATCTTTCCCACAAATTCATTTGAGAAATACAGTCAGTATTCAAGAAGGTTCAGTATAAAGAAAAATATAAATGCTCACCGCTCAGTATGTTACCAAAATGTCGCAAATTGTGTGCGAATTATAATCAGTATTTCAATATCTATGACCTCCGAGCCATTACAATCCGTAAGTTTCACTTTTTTTCTCTTTGCCAATCTGTGTTTGAAAGCTAACCGGAGGTGAGTAACCCAAAAACATGAAATTGTTATATAATAGGGTAGATCAAGAAAAAGGGTTTTTATTGATGATATAATGACGAAAGAAATTTTTTCTTTCGAGCTGTCAAAGAACAGGTCTACAATTTTATTAATGTTTGCACTCGAAACTAACTCCTCTCTTATTTGCAGTTGAATCGAATTCTACCGACTTATTTAAACAGCAATTGTTCAGTGATAAGCAGCTGCCTTTTTGAGGAGCTTAATTCAGAGAGATGGCCCCGACAAAGGACCTCAAAAAAATATTTAAGCTTGAGGTGACCAAGTAACTCTGTAAGAATTGATATCACTCTTTGATGGTTAATGTCGTTTCGTGATACAATGTACAGTAAAAGTCACGAACGGTCTTTGAAAGTATAAAAATGGAAAAGTGTCACAAGAATTGATAATTTTTAAAGAAGTATTTTCTATTATGAGCGATGACTAATGCAAGGCGAACTTGCCAGCTTAAATTACGCGCATTAGAAATGTGTTAAATGCTATTGGGAACACTTGATAATAATGGAAATAGGCAGGTACCGTTTTCCCAACCGATTGCTTGCTGTAATTGCAGTTAACTTCCAGAAAAAGAATACAGAATGAAGGCAACAACAAATATAACACAGGAGAGAAGCTCACTATGACCTTTAAAGAACTGGTATTTTCCCCGGCGCTGGTGATTGGATTACAGTGACACATACTTTAATTTAAACAGCCAATTTTCTTCTTTCCCTCAAGCCATCTCTTAGGAATTCTCTCATCATTGTTGCTTTTAACAAGGAATCTTCCCTTCATCCGTCATCCAGACTCTTCTAGCTGATCTGTTAGCTTTTTTTGTAGTCCATCCTTTTGCAGCTAATTTTGATCATGAGGTGTTGAATCTCGGATATAACTTTACGATATACTTGCGACATCAGACTGGATGTCTGTGTCTTCCTTTCAAATGAAATCTCTCACGAGTGTTCTCTATGGATAAGTGAGTCTTAAGAAGTCAGTTTTAGAAGCATTAATACGAATAGGAACTACATGAGTATCTAACTCTAAGCATAGCTTGTCTGATTGTCTGCTTTACCATTTGTCAGAGTTCACTAATCCTCCAATAATTACGAGGCGGATTTAACGTCGAGTTAAAATAAAGTAAGGTCATTGCCATTCCCATAGTACTGGCTAAATACGACTGATGATGAGCGATGATTATTGCTACCTGAACAAATGGTACAATACATATAAAGCAACTAATGCAAACTGTACCCACAGTACACTGTACACTGTCCTTCTGTATTGAACCATATTCAGTGTATTTGCTTGGCAAGGCTGCGGTTGAACATGATCTTGTACATTAGCGTGATGTTGAATGAAAACATGGAAAATGTTTGTGTGCGAGGCGATAGAGATTATTATTTTGAGAGGTGGACCTGTACTGCCTCACCAAAAGGGTATTTTAGGATCTAAAACAAAGCATAAAGCAGGGACAAGAGTAACAACTCAAAAGGCGGCTACAATGATATACGTGCGCTTCAAAGTTACAGTTTGTGTGTACTCTGCCCCAACCGCATTGCGGTAAGTCTGTCTACAATTATGACTGTCATCGCCAATAGAGACACTCCATATAATGCATAACTGTTCATGCAGGCCTTGAGATAAGTCCTTCGCGCCGCTGACCAAGAATTCAACGTTCGTGAACAAAAACATCCATAAATAGCTTAGAGAGTATGTGCAGCAAGACCAACCCACAGATGAGATGTTGTCGGACAAAGATACAAGAGTTTAGACTGCGAATGGAGGGAAAATTCCAAGTGAAATAGATTGATTGTTGTCGTAATCCACCTGAACAAGCGGGAAAACATAACAGTTCTTCAAATTGTTTAGTTCGCATTCCACGTCTGTGTCCGTAGAGTATACGAGTCGTTTCTTTGTAAAATTTTGTGGAAGAGACATTTACTCCTGCAAAATGTTCCGATCGTAATTTAAATAAATACAGCTGCTATTCAAGATCAATGCATGCATCGTCATCGAACTCTATACTCTTCTCATATTCAATAACATTTGGCTATTTTTTCTTTTTCTCGAAAAGCCACGAAGAGATTACAACTATAAACATTAAATCATGAACAACTCGAATGATCTAACCTTAGGGACAGCAAAGTGCTTGTCTGATTGTCTGCTTTACTGCTTGTCTAATTTCACTAACCTTCCAGCCACAAAGAAACGGATTTAACGTGGAGTTTAAGCAAACTAAGGTACTTACCACTCCCCTCACGACCACGAAGTGTAATGAATATGTTTTACTATTTCTGATCACAATTTCCACCATATATACCGTATGGCAAATAAAGAACGGGTGAGGCTAAATAAATCAGTAATACAATGCCTTTTTTTATTGAGTAAAGTTCAATGTATTTGTTTGACTCGGATGTTTTTGAACATGATCTTGTACTTGAGCGTGACGATGACGAAAATTTCGTATACGAAGCGATTTAGATTACTCGGCAAGATGGAACACCTTTGCGGCTACATCATGAGGTTATACGGTGATCTAAACTGTGTAATAAGGAACCGACACTATATGAAATCCAAAATAGAGCTACAATGATGTACGTGCGTTTTAGAGTTACATCTTGCCTGTATCTCTGACTTAACAACAGGGCGAAAGGTCTGTCCACGCTCATGGCCGCCAACGTCAACAAAGATACCCCGCGTAAAGAGTAGTTTGGTATCGACGCCAGTGTCCGTAAACAACAGACATCCAATAAGTAGTACGGACACACTGAGTAACAAGATCAATCAACAGATCAGTTGTTGCCGGACAACGATAAAAGAGTTTGAAAGGCGGATGAAGGAAAGACTCCTTGTGAAGGGCAACAGAGAAAAAGAGAATTCCCAAGATGGTTTGTAGGCGTGTCGTACTTTCATTACCAAACAATAATAAGATACATCAATAAACAAGCAATTCTGCAAAATTTAAACCTCTTTTTACTGTGAAAGGTTGTCGAAAACATTTAGCGCAGGAAATTTTAATCTAAACACCACAAACGATTCAATAGCCCCTTTCAGTAGGGTAATGTTCTTGCAAATTGTTGGTCAATTTAGAGGGCCGTGTTACACCGTACGGCGGTATCCGCGGGTTTCGCCCATAACGAGTTTCGCCCAAGAAGCGTTTCGCCCATAACGAGAATGGTTTCGCCCAGGCATAAATTCGCTATAACCCGTACGGCACGCTTAATTTAAAAGTTTGTTTGAATTTAAATCCGCCCTCTAGTTAACCCTTTGACTCCCAAGATCTGATTGTGAATTCTCTCATCTAGCTGCTACACACTTCCTTCTAAATTAGTTCGGAGAATTTGGTGTTAAACCAAGAAAAGCAACTTCTATGCGATAAGCTTAAGTACTCTTATTAACTGTTTGCCAGATAGTGTATGGATATTATTGTAATGTTTGACAAAGTACACACACAGCGCCATGCTCAATTCTTTATTATGTAACAACGCCACAGCCCACGTGCAACATAATGTATGCTAATTATGCTAGCTTAAACATGACAATTATAGGGAGAAGTTACATGTTAATCACTTCTGGGATTTAAAGGGTTAAACCCAGAGGTAAAGTAAATGTCTCATCAACCTCGTTTTCTTCACGGTTTTTTTTTTTCGTTTTCGAATTGAGTGTTGAATAAAATAGCTCTGTTAATTGGTGCTTTGTAGATTTCTTCTTCTGGCTTCTCTGTTTAATTGTTCCATTCCTGATAAGCCTTTCACTCCATCGCAAACTATTGGTGAAAAGAAAAATAAGACTTTTCCTACAGTGCGAACAATTTTTCCTTCCTTTGTGTTATTAAAAAACAATAGACAAGAACTTATTTTCACTCGTAACGCCTTTTGGTTGATTCAAAACAAAACAGGAAAGTTTTTCTCTTCCAGCGTTACCCGGCTTCTTTTCATTGGCCACCTAACCATCGAATAATTCGCTCCTTGTTTTGCAGGCCATTTTTCGCCAAATGGAGGCAAGAGTCGAGGAACAAGTCAATGAAATCTCTCAGCGGAGTTCCCAATATGCGTAACGCAGCTACAAAAGTAACGAAATGCGCATTCTAGTCGCATTCTATCCATGTTTGTTTCCATCGCGGACAGTAAATAATCTTAACTTGAAAAAATGTGTTTTTATTTTTCTTTTCACTCATCCCAGTATTGATTTCTTCGATGAATAAATAAAAAAAATACAAAATAACTGTGTAGCCTACCGGAAATAACACACAGAAAAATTGTTTGATGGTTTGTAAACGGTACTCTAGAGTTGCTTCAATAAAGTACTTGTTGTTGTTATTATTTTCTTAACTAATTTTCCTGTTAACGCGGTTAGTGAAACAATATTGTAATGAACTTGGACTCGTCGTTTTTCCTTTGAGTTATCAATAGTCCACTGCGTTCTTCGTGTTTGTTCAGATTCTCACTATAACAAGGGCCTGGTGACAAGCAAGAATAGGATAGCACTCGATATTTCAGTAATAGCCAACATGTCTGACAACTGGTCACCCTCTTTCAGGTCTCATCTGTTTTACTATCTTTCTCATCATATCCCTGAGAAAAAGAGTCGCAAAGAAAAAAATTATTGAGAAATACCACAGGGAGATGAGGCAGCCTAAATGGATGATTGGATGCAAAGATAAGTGTATGGGCGGAGCAAATTTAATTGCATGAATTATTCCCACCTGATCGCATTAAGCTTTTCTTCCACTGATTCCCAAGGATTGCGGTCTTCACTAAATTCAAGAAGCTCTGCAAGTTAAATGAGGACAGATAATATTCAGTTTTGTAATAATCTGAATCGAGAGTAACTGGTGTTTTTATTCTTTTCTGAGAATTTTACGCGTTCCTAGATGCTCGAGTTTCCATGTGATAACAAATTTAACACACGACTAATAAAATTGCAATTACTGAACTATTGCCATGCTACATAGCATTGTAATGAACACTTAGACAAAAAAGGCTCATCCTCAACCCTTGTTCCAGCTCATCAATACTTAAAATTGTAAAATTCAAACAGGCTTAAATCACTTCAAACCTTCCGCCAGTTTGTTTTCACTGATCCAGTCGCCCTCTTTGTAACACTTCACGCGTAAATTCTGCAAAGAAGAGAAGTGAATTTTGGCAAAAAGAAAAGTTAAATAAAAAAGTTAATAGGGAATCAAATCTCTCAAGAATATATTACTTGAAGAGAGACTATACGTTTTGAACTGATTGAATATCATTCGCATAATGATAATTGGGGAGGAGTTTCTGCTTGCTCCCTCTCTGTACTTTATAACTTGTCTGGAACCATCCCCAGATAAGGGTAACTATTGTTAAAGTTTGCGTGGAAGCTTTTACTGCTGATAAAATATCATTAACTTCTTTTTTCTAGGGTGGCGACGAAATCCGCGGTACGCGTTTGGCCAGAGAAACGGAGATCGCTCACATGACGGAACTCCTGTATCCAGCATCAATTTCGTACGCGTTTAAAATTGATGATCTAGCAGGGTTGGATACCAAACTCTGACAGTATACTACATATAAATTTTATTAAGAAAATTTGTTGTAAAACGGGTTTTTTCCCACAGTAGAGTAATTCCCATGAGATCTTTATCGCCTGACAGCTTATGAGGGCAAAGCCGGAATCGAAAATCAAGCACATAATTCTCAGGAAAATAACGATATTCTCTCAGACACGTTTCTTTATCTTACAATCTGTTCATAGGCTATTCAGAATGTTGGCGCTTAACGGAGAAGGATCTATCAAAACTCTCCACTTTTCACACCAAAAGCCTTCGGCGTATTTTACGCATCTTTTGGCCTAATGTCATTTCCAACAAAGATCTTTTTGAACGGTGTGGAACCGAATCAATGGCTACCATCCTGATGAGGAGACGCTGGAGGTGGATTGGCCATGTCGCCCGCCAAGAAGCTTCCATTGCAAAAACTGCTATGCATTGGACGCCAGAAGGGAAACGCAAGCGGGGTCGCCCCAAGATCACATGGCGACGGACATTTGAGAAGGAAATGAAGGAGATGGGGAAGACCTGGGAGGGCATCAAGTTCATGGCATGGGATCGCCAGATGTGGAGGGAACACGTTGCTGCCCTACATGCCTGTTAGGCGTATAGGGCATGAAGAAGAATCAATCTCGGATTGAGCTCTTTAAAATTGAAACTATGAAATGAGAGTTGACTAAATATGTCGCTGTTGACGAGTGGATCAATAGTGTTGGCGAGATGACATGTCGGAGAAGTGACCTGGTACAGAATACAACTACCAGCGTTGTGATAGAGAGTTGGTTTTTTCGGAAACTCGCTGATTTCTACTCCACCCAAACCTCTCTCCTGTTTTCTACCTATTTCAAACCTCCTGTAGCGTTGCAGTTGTGTCTTCCGTTGTAGCTATGTCCTCACACCTAATAAGCAACAGAATGCGGTTTTATTTTTTCCAATCAAAGTGCGTTGTGATCGTGTTTTCTGCGTTTCACTTCCCATCTAGTGGAGAGAAGCAATGCAAAAGTGTATGAAGATCGTAAAGATTTCCTCGCTCGAAGTTTGACTATTTCAAAGTGAGTAAATTCTGTAAAATTGACCCTTTAAGTGGAATATATCTTACGGACTTACCGTAGCCATCTTTACACCGACTTTCAATTTGATCAGTGAACTCTAGAAAAACGGGGTAAATTCTATGAAGTTCATCCTTTAAGTGGAATATATCCTACTGACTTGCCATAGCCATCTTTACATCTATTTTCCATTTGATCAGTGAACTCTAAAAAAACGGGGTGAATTCTGTGAAATTCATCCTTTAAGTGGAATATATCCTAGTGACTTACCGTAGCCATCTTTACTCCGATTTTCGACTTGATCCTTGTGTGAATTTGTCATAAACGGGGTAAATTATGACAAATCCACCCACAAGTGCAATATATCCTTCAATGATTTAGAAACTGTACTAAAAGAGAGATGTGTTTAGGTGATGGGATGGAAAACGAGCATCAGGGGATAGTGTATATTCGTGAACGGCTGCCGTACTGGCTTTCATGTGATGTACGTGCTCATAAGTTTCACGTGAAGAATTTGGTTTTCAAAGATCATTGTCTTTCAGATCACTGAGCTTGAAGCGCTCTGTGGAACAACAACAGAGCGCTGATCTGTGACAGTATCAAATATGCGGCTAGGTGTAACAGCTAAAATCAGCGGAACCGCAATAAAATCACAATCTACTACTTTACCCTTTTTAACAGAGGGCTCGGTGCGATACAGCAAAAACCCACAGTATTCCAAATAAATAACCGATGGCCAAACTTCTGTGACTGAAGGAAGACTTTGTGACGCAGACAAATAATCACAACTTTGACCTCTCAGTCGATCTCACCTCTGGTAGATCAGGTAGAAGCGTCAAAAAAATATTTATTTTGCGTCGACGAATCATAATCTATGATCTTCAACTATTAAAGAAAATAAATGATACGACACTCCATTGAGCTTTTGTCTCAGCTTGTGGGTAAAATGTTGTCATTGGAGTCGCAAGTCGAGCAGTGAAGACTGTAAATAGAGCAAGACTGCAGGGAAGTAATTTGTGGGAGAGAGAGGCCAATGATCTGGTTAGTAATGACCATGCAGATAGCAAATTTTCCTGAAATCAGCAGGAACTTGTTCATCCGTTGTTACTGGAAAATACTGGTCAAATTTTCCACTTATCCCGACCCCCCTTGAATGAGTACTTTTGCTTAAAGACAGAACTACAACGGAGTCTCTTAACCAGTCCCAAGCCGCGTGTTGCTCGATAGATCACAAGATATGATTGGCCACTGTATCACATTACGTCAGAGGACATATCTATAATAAGGGGGCATAAGTACAACGGTACCACCGCCCTTCTATTTTCAACCCGACCCAAACCTCCCTCTTGTTTTCTACCCGACCCAAATTTCGACGCGACCTAAACCTCACTCCTGTTTTCTACCCGACCCAAACCTTCCTGAAACAGACCAACAAAAAAAGGAAAACAAACAAGCAGACACGCCAACCAAAAAGAAAAATATACGATCCTAACTCAGGGCTTCAAACAACCGCCAATAAGACAATTAAACAGGAAAAACTGTTACGAACGACAGATGAGTAAATAGACTTGGTTAGATGGTAAATTTTTATGGCAATATATATATTTTTTTTAATTTTCTTTGCAGGCGGGATAGAAGCAGGACTTGTATTGTCTGCAGTCATTTCTCTTTTGATGTTGCTCCACTTCATGAAATGCCATCGGTGAATTTTCATCATAATTTGGAGACGCTGAAGCTTCTCCTGAGTCAGTCATCGTGTTCTCAATCTGTTTTATTGAGGAAGATGAAATTACAAATATATATATTAATTTTTTTTTTCAATTAATATCCTTGCAAGCACTTTTGTTTGATGGTCCTTTTCATTTTTTCTTCCCTATTGTTGTAGTTTTTTTATTATTTCTTGACTCTATTTTATACTGTTTATTAAAATAAATTATTCCGTGGCAACTATGCACCCTTGCAAAATGGAGTTGTTGTTGTTGTTAACGATTTCTGAACCAACGCGCTGACGTCCAATGTTTTAAAATTTATTTCGGAGAACACGTGCTTAGTTGTTTCCAAAGCTTCAGTGGTACGTACTGTGGTTAACTAACGGATAATAGGAAGTTTAAGAAACGACGACAGCGGTTGGTTAAAAAATGAACTTCTATTTTACCTACGAATCTCACGATACTCAAAAGTCATGTAATTTCTTTCTCCCTGTCAAAATATCTCGAAACTGAATATGGAAAACAGTTGTTACTAAGAAAGCATGTTTTTCATGTTAAGTATGTTAAACTTAAGGTCGGTTTATTACGTTACATAGGAAAAGCTTTTTTAGGTTGAGAAGGCGACTTTTCGTTTACATACCAGTCCTTACATTTCGCCCACTGCACAGAGTAAACACGTTTGCATATTAATGGTGGCTGTTTGGAAACTTGAGCTGCCTTTGCCCAAACTGGGTATGAACTTTCCGAATTTAGTTACAAAACGACGCTTGGTACGAAGGGACTGGATACCATATTTTAAATGAAATTGTGATCATGGTAAAGAAAATAATAACGATGATGATAATGATAATTAACAATGATAATACTTCTCATGATATAAAGGATGATGAAGATACAGATAACCGTTATGATTCGATTTAGCGCCCTCACTCCATTAAGAGTCCCGTCCGGCTTGTGAGCGCCCCCTCGATTCTGTTTTTTTAATAATCGCCAGCGCACCTTCATTACAACAAGCACCCCTATACCGAAAACACACAGTGTTAGAATGTGCGGACATTGAGATCAACCGTAGCTCATCTTTCTTCAACTTTTCACTTAACCCCTTAACCCCTAAGAGTGACTAACATCTAATTTCTCTTCAGAATATCCCCTTGAATCAAACATTAAGGTCATGAAGATAAAGGAAATGATAACCGATTAAAGAAGCTGTCGGCATCTTAGGAAATGTATAGAGAACAGTATGGCGAATATGCATTTTGATGTTAGGATGTAAGGGGTTAAAGCCTCTTTACAATAACGGTGGTCTTCCTCTCAAGTCCAAGTGAGTTCATAGATCCTTCAAACGAATGATTTTGTCGATAAATTTTGCAATGATTGCTTGGCTAGTCGTTGTAGTCAGGATGGATCCTGGAACAACAAATCCATTTCCCAGTCTACTTGATGCTTTTCAAATAAACATCAAAGCCGTGTTCCTTACATTTTGCTGTTCCTCAAAAGCAAAAACAAAAAAAAATGAGCCCTGTCCCTAACAAGCGCCCTGTTTCGAGTAAGCTCCCTTTCTTGAAGTACCAAAAGTAAGTAAGCGCTTCGGCCCTAAATCGAACCATTGCGGCATGACGATGATGACAATGATAGCACTAGTATTTAAGATACTAATAATGATGATGATGATGACAATAGTAGTGATCGGGAAAATGATAACCATAAAGATGATAAGGATAACACAAGTAAACGACAGAAATAGGAAGATTTTCAAGAACTCTAGACCTGGAAAAATTGTGTGAGTCCTTTGTTGGACCATAAGGCTTCTGTTTACGGTTTAGTATACAAATTTATAACGAAATGGAATTCGTTGACGAATCAAGCCATCTACAAAGCTTGTCATGTGACAAGCGTACCGTATGTTGCTAGAATAATTACCTCCAATGTCTTGTGCAATAGTGTGTCATTAAGATTTTGTTGTTGCCTTTTTTTCCTTTTTATCCCTGCTAGGGGAGGAGCCTCCGATTTTCTGGATATCAGATAGCGTACACATTAATTGGTATTAGAAAATGAATTTGATGTCATACAGTATCTTAAATGCAAATCTTCTGTTTGTTCCTTTGTTCATTTGAATGATCGACATCAGTATCTGAGCAATTGCCGCCTGCCCCTTCCCCAATCCAACCCAAAAACAGTCAACTGATAACATTTTTTCCTCAGTGACTTTGATTCTCCTACAGAGTTGTCGCGTTTGAGTGAATGTTTACCGTAGATTCATGAAACGACACCTTTATGTTGTTGCCAAAACTTGAATTTGAAGAGATTCAGATTGTTTATGATTTAACCATAGTTGAGAAGCAGCGCAGTCGTTAAAGGGAAGTAATAGTATTTCATGAACCTTCAAATTTTAAGTCATTGTTGATACTACAAGGTGGGCTCGTAATTTCGCAATGCTCTTGGTACAAATGTGATCTCATCATGAAGCTCTTTGATGTTTTGTCTTCGTTTCTTTTCTAGGTTTTGGCACCCTGACAATTTTTCTGTCAACTGTGGCTGCTGCTCTGGCAATCGTTTTATTATTATATACCACAGTATAATACAGTTTGTATCTGGGTATTGTTGTAATTGTTTTTGTTTTTTTTGTATTTTAAATTTCTTTGAGTCAAAATGTTGCTCCCTTAATGAAAGCTACTTTAAGTTATGGGCTAAACTTTATTAAACACGTAGATTGTGGTAGAGAAGTGAGCAAGAAAGCACACAAAGTACTTATTGAAAAACAATTTAAAATTGTGGATTTCTATTGGTGGCTTCGGAAATGGAAATTATATCATCTGGCAAACATGGAGAGGCAAATGGTAACATTTGCAATTTAAGATGAGATTTTTTGTAGATCTATTTCTCTGTAAACGATAATGGATTCTAAATATTGATTAATTTTCTTTGGTACATTTGAATTTCATGGTTTTTTTTAAGATAATATATCAGGTATTGGAAAGTAATATATACAGAAGAGCAAGCAGTTTACGTTAGGCTAAAAGCCAAGTATATAGGAAGGGAAAAAAAGAGAAAAATAATAAATATATATTGCGGTTTGCCTAGGCGTTTTAAGCGGAAGTTTTGGTTTATTTCCTTTTTTTTGCTTTTTTTTTTTGTTTTTGTTGGTGTTTTTTTTTTGTTTTTTGTTGTTGTTGTTTTTTTTCCCTTTAACTATTATGAAAGTAAGAAAAGCACGATACCCAATAATGTTGTGAATTAATGAAGTCTGTGATTAGAGGAAAGACTTGGGAAGGAAGGTGTGGGTTTGGAACTAAGGAGCAAAGAACCAGCGGCGAGAAAGAATACGTAGTTGACAGACAGCTGTGAGCATTAATTACACGAGTGTTTTGGCGAAGGCCGATTTCTTTCACACGTGTGAATATATATATATATACAATTAGCGAACTCCAACATCGTGAAGACCTCTGATATTTCTCGGAAAAAAAATTAGCAGAAGTGGAAAGGGAAGTGGAAGTGAAAGATTGGATTAGTGGGACTACCGGCGAAACCGGATTTCATTCCATTTTGTTTCCTCGTTTTTATCCGCGCGGGGATCCCGGTCCAATTCCCGTTGGCTCCTTGGTACAAATCTCTTCACCGGCATCCCGAGAGTGATCCCGATACGTGTCCCGTGGGAATCTCGGCGGGAACTTGCGAAAATACCGACGTAAACTCCAGAGAATAAGGACATCAAGGAACTCGTCTTTTTTGTCCAAAAACCAACCATTTCATTCTTTCACAAATTTACGAAGACGGTACAATCGAGCAACCGTTTTTAACCCGTAACTGAGTGTCATCACCATTTAATACAGGTTAACAACAAAAGACAAGAAAACAATATTTTAAACCATAATTCATCATTTTAATGTTTAGCTTATTTTAAAAATCGCTCAAAAATTTATCGAATAACTACGGAATATGGAATAAATTCTACTTCAGAGAGAATTCGTCGTTTTATTCAAGTGGTTCGGCCCTAAGTAACCGTGCCATACAACCCGAATAGGCCGATAGGACTCAGTCAAGGATGACCACAACCGCTTACTAGAGACCACCGTCGAAAAGCGGTGAACATGACAGTGCATAGGAGGAAAAAAATTGGGAATTTTTCAACCGACCGCTTAATACAGGTTCGACTATTAATTCCGAATTAGCTAATGAGCCCATGCAAAGAGCTCTATTCGCCTGTTCACCTATTCACCCAGTCGAGGGTCTCCATGGGGTTAACTGTTAGCCGTATATCGGTCAAAAACTAGTTGTTAGGCGTAAATATTGACAAATCTGAATCCTTAGTTCTAGAAAAAATTAACCTTAGAAATATTTCCTTCCTACAATGTGTTATTTTGTGTTAGTCTGGGTTAACCGCAGCAAAAACATGGCCACAATTTTAACTGTTAGCCGTAAAAAGTTCTCCTTGGTCGGCCCTCCTCAGTTTTACGAAAATTTCGGCTTTTTTAACAGGCTGTTTTAGTTAAGTTTGCAGTCGTGAAAAATAAATTCATTAATATTTTCCACACTGACCTAGGGTACCTCCCATGATGAGGACGCTTTCTATAAACAGAATAACGCACCATCTCCCAAAGTGAAAGGTAATTTCTTTTTTCTTGCCTCTTCAACAATATATGACTAAATATCATGTCGCTCTCCATGCTAAAAAAAACGCGTCGCGTGACATCCTAAGGAACGGCTGCCAATGAAACTGGCAGATATAAAATCTGAAAATATCGAAGTTTATATCTCATTTATTAACTCTATCCAAGGAAATAGAAAGAGGTTGAGCGAATAAGACATAGGTGCACTCACTACTCCAAACGACAAGGTCTGAAAAAACATCATATCTGTCACATAACGTGCTAAAGAAGTGCGTCGCGTGACATCCTAAGAAACGGTTGCTAATGATCAATATTAGCAGTTATACAGTCAGAAAATATCGAAGTTTATCTCTCATTCAATAAACCTATTGAAAGAAATGGGCAAATGTTATCAAGCGAGCAAGACATCACTACGCGCGCTCACTACTTCAAACTACAAGAAATATGTTATGCAGGTTGACGTAGAAATTTTCTTCCCTTTGTTATGGATTTCCTCTTCCATTCTAACAAAATGTCAACCGACTTGTTTCATTGTTTCACATTCAAATGTTAGTTTATTGTACTTAGATAATAGGTAAACAATTTAATCGAAGAAACTAAACAAAATCATTTGGCTCCAATTTTCTAGCTCGTTCTGAGCTTTCTTCAATGCTTTGTAGGCCAGTAACTAAAATTAAAATAACACTTCTCGTTTTGCCTTTGGACGATTAGTTTAAACATTATACTTAAAATGCATCGTTCTGCTTGTAAAAAATTAACACAATTTATCGCATTCAAAATTAAAGGAGAAATCTCAGAAAATCAACTAATAAGAAGACTAAATCCTGGCCATTACGGCCAAAACCTGTCATTTTAAGTCCAGATAAACCTAATTCTGATCGGCAGAAACTAACTTTAAGTACCAATGACTGGGGTACAAATCCTCGAAAAGTTAAGCACAATTTCCATGTGACATAAACTAAGATAACTGAGCAATCGGAAAAACTGATTATTGTCCAATTTCCATGGAATTTCTCCATGCACGCACATGGCTGTAACAGCTTTGCATCACTCATTAGACTAAAACCGATTGAGAAAAATTTTGTAAGAGAACTGAGGAAAACGTTTTCAAGAGGTTTCAACTTCCACGTAAACGTAACGCCTTAATCCTCTTAGTAGTTAATACTTAGATTAAAAATAACTTTTTACATAGCTAGTCATGATGATTTCAAGACATATGAAAAAAACAGTAGTTTCAGCAGGATATCAAAGACGAAGCTCGTAAGAGCAGTTCAGACAAGTAAAAAGTCAACTTTTGAATCAAAGGAAATCCGTTCTCTTGTTAAACTTGACTCTGGCCGTCTTTTGGTTCTTCCTGCTTTGAAAAGAAGACTCTTGAGAAAGATTTCATACATAGCTTGCTGGTGTCTGGTCCGAATATCAGCGTTTGCAGGTATCCGAAAACACCCTGGGATTCCAATGCTCACTGCCTTAACTGAAGAATAAAAAAAGCTAAGTTTAGGGAGGATGGTAGAGTTTCCATGAAATATTTCCCAGCACATGCGGAAACGATACATTGCACAACAGGATTATTTTAAAATAAATTTGCTTTTTTACTATCATGTTTCCTAACGAGAATGTCATCATTGTAAACGTGTCCACTTGATTGTACTGCATCTCAATTTGCCGGAGCAAAAACTAAATTCGTAACCCAACTGAAAGGAAAATAACACGCAAGTATCACTGCTCATACATAAGCTACAATTTTGATTTAAGGTAATTTTGTATTGAACAGAATGCATAAACAGAAAATTTACTTGTTTCGGCTTCTAATATCCTTGAAATCCAGGTTGACGTCGTCACCAATGAGTACAAATGGTGCCCAGTGAATCACCTCCTTGAACTTTTCAATTTCCCTCATACACTTCATGGCCTGATTGAGAGCTTCACTTGCCTTCTTGCCTTTGGTAAGTGCATCGTAGAAGAAACTCATGAACTCCAGGGTTCCCTCGTCGCCAATCGCGCACAAGGTTACCACAACAGATCTAGCACCGGCAGCCAAAAGTGCACGCGCCATGCCGACCACACCCTCGGCCATGACCTCCCCACGAGCAGTGTGACAGCAGCTAAGTACAACCAGACGTGCTCGCAACCCAGCTTCTACGACATCTTGCATCGTCAGTAGATAGTCTTTCTCTTGCGGCTGAGGGTTTTCTCTAGTGGTGTTTAGTGCCAGGATAACTTCTCCAGTTTCCATTTTACCGTGTGCTGCTATGTGAACTAAGGCCACTGATGATATTCGTTTTAACACTTCATTTTTTGTTGCCATTTCTCCAGTGAGGGGAGAAACATTTAGGACACGCCCGATCATCTCCACTTCTTTCCTTGCTCCTGGAAGTTGCACCAAAAGTCTTTCCTCATAGATGATATGTTTGAAACATGGGTCGCCGACAAGCAATGCACCAGTCTTCATGTGAAAGTCAGCTGGACAGTCATTAATTAGTTTCAAAGTCGTCAGGGAGGGAAGCACACGAATTCTGAAAGAATTACTTAGATATGATGAGTTGGAGTCCTCCAACGCTGCATAAGGTACGAGGCAAAATGGCCCCTCTGGAACGAATGTGATATTGTCGTGGCCTTTGATCAGGTCAGCAATAGGAGCAACGATGATGTCATGCAGCTTCTTTAAAGCACTTGATTGGGAGTGCCTCACATCAACTCGACTCACATCATTGGCCACTTTCTCTTCTTTCGGCGAATCAAGCAGAGGATTTTCGATTGTAACAGTATCTCTTGTACCGATCTCCTTAAAAACAGTTTTGTTCAGTAGCCGGATGAAAAATTCCAATTCATCCTCATACTTATAATTGTTGACGTGTACCTGTCTCATCTGGATGTTATCTTCACTGACACAAACCCAGAAGTAAACGCATGGTCCACTAATAGCTATGAAAACTGTGCTCAGTGGAACCCAACTCAGAGATGCGCTGTGCGTTGAAGAATCTCGAGGCTGATATTTTGTGGCCATAAGATCTCTCAGAGCTTGAGCACGTCCTTTCTCTGCGGCAAGAAGAGCCTTTACAACTTGACCTTGTTTGAGATTTATACGCCACAAGTCTTTATATGCACTTTCGTACTGATCACGAAAACAAATCTTCCACTGATCGTTGAGGTGAAGACTGGCCCTAATATCATCATACAACTCTACACTCGAGTGATAATAGTCAAAGGCCATCATAAGATTTCCTTGGCACTCGAAACTGCTTCCAAGAGAATGGAGTGAGCACGCCTCCCCAGTCTTGTCTCCCACTTCTTTGGAAATTTCTAGGTGACGTTGATAACACTCCATTGCCGCTTTCAACTCTCTTTGACGGAAATGAATCTTGCCGAGATTACAATAACTCCTACCCTCTCCGAACTTGTCTCCCACTTCTTTAGCAATTTCTAGATTGCGTTGATGGTACCCGATTGCTGTTTTGAACTGCCCTAGAACTTGATAAGTGCAGCTGAGACGGCCATAACTATTTCCCTCTCCGGCCTTGTCTCCCACTTCTTTAGCAATTTCTAGATGACGTTGATGGTACTCAATTGCTGTTTTGAACTTTCTTAGACAATTATAACTTTTGCCGAGATTGCCATAACTTAATCCCTCTCCGGCCTTGTCTCCCACTTCTTTAGCAATTTCTAGATGACGTTGATGGTACTTGATTGCTGTTTTGAACTGTCCTAGATCTTGATAATCGCAGCCGAGATTGCCATAACTTCTTCCCTCTCCGGCCTTGTCTCCCACTTCTTTAGCAATTTCTAGATGACGTTGATGGTGTTCGATTGCTGTTTTGAACTGTCCTAGATCTTGATAAGCGCAGCCGAGATTGCCATAACTTGTTCCCTCTCCGGCCTTGTCTCCCACTTCTTTAGCAATTTCTAGATGACGTTGATGGTACTTGATTGCTGTTTTGAACTCTCCTAGACCTTGATAAACGCAGCCGAGATTGCCATAACTTGTTCCCTCACCGGCCTTGTCTCCCACTTCTTTAGCAATTTCTAGACGACGTTGATGGTACTTGATGGCTGTTTTGAACTGTCCTAGACCGTGATAAGCGTAGCCGAGATTGCCATAACTTGTTCCCTCTCCGGCCTTGTCTTCCACCTCTTTAGAAATTTCTAGACGACGTTGATGGTACTTGATGGCTGTTTTGAACTCTCCTAGACAGCTATAAGCGCAGCCGAGATTGCCATAACTTGTTCCCTCTCTGACCTTGTCTCCCACTTCTTTAACAAGTTGTAGACAACGTTGATGGTACTTGATGGCTGTTTTGAACTGTCCTAGACCTTGATAAGCGCAGCCGAGATTGCCATAACTTGTTCCCTCTCCGGCCTTGTCTCCCACTTCTTTAGCAATTTCTAGATGACGTTGATGGTACTTGATGGCTGTTTTGAACTCTCCTAGACCTTGATAAGCGCAGCCGAGATTGCAATAACTTCTTCCCTCTCCGGCTTTGTCTCCCACCTCTTTAGCAATTTCTAGATGACGTTGATGGTACCCGATGGCTGTTTTGAACTCTCCTAGACCTCGATAAGCGCAGCCCAGATTGTAATAACTTGTTCCCTCTCCGGCTTTGTCTCCCACTTCTTTAGCAATTTCTAGATCACGTTGATGGTACCCGATTGCTGTTTTGAACTCTCCTAGATCTTGATAAGGGCAGCCCAGATTGCAATAACTTCTTCCCTCTTCGGCCTTGTCTCCCACTTCTTTAGCAATTTCTAGACGACGTTGATGGTACTTAATGGCTGTTTTGAACTCTCCTAGACATCTATAAGCGCAGCCGAGATTGCCATAACTTGTTCCCTCTCCGGCCTTGTCTCCCACTTCTTTAGCAATTTCTAGATGACGTTGATGGTACTTGATGGCTGTTTTGAACTCTCCTAGACCTTGATAAGCGCAGCCGAGATTGCAAGAACTTATTCCCTCTCCGGCTTTGTCTCCCACTTCTTTAGCAATTTCTAGATGACGTTGATGGTACTTGATGGCTGTTTTGAACTCTCCTAGACATCTATAAGCGTTGCCGAGATTGCCATAACTTGTTCCCTCTCCGGCCTTGTCTCCCACTTCTTTAGCAATTTCTAGATGACGTTGATGGTACTTGATGGCTGTTTTGAACTCTCCTAGACATCTATAAGCGCAGCCGAGATTGCCATAACTTGTTCCCTCTCCGGCCTTGTCTCCCACTTCTTTAGCAATTTCTAGATGACGTTGATGGTACTTGATGGCTGTTTTGAACTCTCCTAGACCTTTATAAGCGCAGCCGAGATTGCCATAACTTGTTCCCTCTCCGGCCTTGTCTCTCACTTCTTTAGCAATTTCTAGATGACGTTGATGGTACTTGATGGCTGTTTTGAACTCTCCTAGACATCTATAAGCGCAGCCGAGATTGCCATAACTTGTTCCCTCTCCGGCCTTGTCTCCCACTTCTTTAGCAATTTCTAGATGACGTTGATGGTACTTGATGGCTGTTTTGAAGTCTCCTAGACATCTATAAGCGCAGCCGAGATTGCCATAACTCGTTCCCTCTCCGGCTTTGTCTCCCACTTCTTTAGTAATTTCTAGATGACGTTGATGGTACTTGATGGCTGTTTTGAAGTCTCCTAGACATCTATAAGCGTTGCCGAGAATGCCATAACTTGTATCCTCTCCGGCCTTGTCTACCACTTCTTTAAAAATTTCTAGATCACGTTGATGGTACTTGACGGCTGTTTTGAACTCTCCTAGACCTTGATAAGCGCAGCCGAGATTGCCATAACCTGTTCCCTCTCCGGCTTTGTCTCCCACTTCTTTAACAATTTCTAGATCGCGTTGATGGTACCGGATTGCTGTTTTGAACTCTCCTAGACCTCGATAAGTGCAGCCCAGATTGCAATAACTTCTTCCCTCTCCGGCTTTGTCTCCCACCTCTTTAGCAATTTCTAGATGACGTTGATGGTACCCGATTGCTGTTTTGAACTCTCCTAGACCTTGATAAGCGCAGCCGAGATTGCAATAACTTCTTCCCTCTCCGGCCTTGTCTCCCACTTCTTTAGCAATTTCTAGATGACGTTGATGGTACTCGATGGCTGTTTTGAACTGTCCTAGACCTTGATATGTGTTGCCGAGATTCCAATAACTTCTTCCCTCTCCGGCTTTGTCTCCCACCTCTTTAGCAATTTCTAGATGACGTTGATGGTACCCGATTGCTGTTTTGAACTCTCCTAGACCTCGATAAGCGCAGCCCAGATTGTAATAACTTGTTCCCTCTCCGGCTTTGTCTCCCACTTCTTTAGCAATTTCTAGATCACGTTGATGGTACCCGATTGCTGTTTTGAACTCTCCTAGATCTTGATAAGGGCAGCCCAGATTGCAATAACTTCTTCCCTCTTCGGCCTTGTCTCCCACTTCTTTAGCAATTTCTAGACGACGTTGATGGTACTTAATGGCTGTTTTGAACTCTCTTAGACATCTATAAGCGTTGCCGAGATTGCCATAACTTGTTCCCTCTCCGGCCTTGTCTCCCACTTCTTTAGCAATTTCTAGATGACGTTGATGGTACTCGATGGCTGTTTTGAACTCTCCTAGACCTTGATAAGCGCAGCCGAGATTGCAAGAACTTATTCCCTCTCCGGCTTTGTCTCCCACTTCTTTAGCAATTTCTAGATGACGTTGATGGTACTTGATGGCTGTTTTGAACTCTCCTAGACATCTATAAGCGTTGTCGAGATTGCCATAACTTGTTCCCTCTCCGGCCTTGTCTCCCACTTCTTTAGCAATTTCTAGATGACGTTGATGGTACTTGATGGCTGTTTTGAACTCTCCTAGACATCTATAAGCACAGCCGAGATTGCCATAACTTGTTCCCTCTCCGGCCTTGTCTCTCACTTCTTTAGCAATTTCTAGATGACGTTGATGGTACTTGGTGGCTGTTTTGAACTGTCCTAGACCTTGATATGTGTTGCCGAGATTCCAATAACTTCTTCCCTCTCCGGCTTTGTCTCCCACTTCTTTAGCAATTTCTAGATGACGTTGATGGTACTTGATGGCTGTTTTGAACTCTCCTAGACATCTATAAGCGCAGCTGAGATTGCCATAACTTGTTCCCTCTCCGGCCTTGTCTCCCACCTCTTTAGCAATTTCTAGATGACGTTGATGGTACTTGATGGCTGTTTTGAAGTCTCCTAGACATCTATAAGTGCAGCCGAGATTGCCATAACTTGTTCCCTCTCCGGCTTTGTCTCCCACTTCTTTAGTAATTTCTAGATGACGTTGATGGTACTTGATGGCTGTTTTGAAGTCTCCTAGACATCTATAAGCGTTGCCGAGAATGCCATAACTTGTATCCTCTCCGGCCTTGTCTACCACTTCTTTAGCAATTTCTAGATCACGTTGATGGTACTTGACGGCTGTTTTGAACTCTCCTAGACCTTGATAAGCGCAGCCGAGATTGCCATAACCTGTTCCCTCTCCGGCTTTGTCTCCCACTTCTTTAACAATTTCTAGATCGCGTTGATGGTACCGGATTGCTGTTTTGAACTCTCCTAGACCTCGATAAGTGCAGCCCAGATTGCAATAACTTCTTCCCTCTCCGGCTTTGTCTCCCACCTCTTTAGCAATTTCTAGATGACGTTGATGGTACCCGATTGCTGTTTTGAACTCTCCTAGACCTTGATAAGCGCAGCCGAGATTGCAATAACTTCTTCCCTCTCCGGCCTTGTCTCCCACTTCTTTAGCAATTTCTAGATGACGTTGATGGTACTCGATGGCTGTTTTGAACTGTCCTAGACCTTGATATGTGTTGCCGAGATTCCAATAACTATTTGCTATGACTATTAGTTCAGCTTTAGTTTTCTTCATTAATAGAAACAGCCGTTCATTATTGTTTTCAAGCTTAAAACGTGTCAAGGGTAGATAAATCATGAGTGGGTTTGCGAAAATGCAACAGAAATAAGTATTTTATAAATAGCTAGTATTAGATAGAACCCCTATGGATGGAATGATATTTGGAGCGTGGGTTTTTTTTGTAGAGTCTTGATTTCAAGTTATTCGAGAGAGTTAACAAGCTCTAAAGTGCATTTATTATATTAGGCTCGGTCGTCATGGTGATGCTCGTCTCAAGAAAAAGATGCGGGGTATTCAGCTCAAATTCTGGGAATTAGTTAATATGGCCTCTTCTTTTAAGTAAAGTTTCGTGGGATAATCGAAAGAACTCTTTAAGAATATTTTAGGTTTTTGAGACTGCTCAGTGCAGTTGAGAGAACATCGCTTGCATTATGTGTAAAAGAATCTCTCTGGAACGTATTGATTTTTCTTGAAACATTACTCGCATTGCATCTTGTATCACGTTTGAAACATTCGTTAAAGGATACGGCCAATCCCATATGCAACCAGCTCCTCGCTTCTTTATACATGCAAAGTTCGACACAAGCTCTGGCTCCTGAAAAAGAGAGAATATTTGGTGGTGCGAGGTAATGTATCGCTGTTAAGGTATAAACGTATCGATAAAATGGACTTAATTTTTAAGCGCTTTTCAGCACTTTTCGGGGAAGTTTTCGGGTGGACTGCATTGAGCAGTTGACAACTTTTGAAAGGGAGTTTTTCAGGTGCCTCCTTGCCGGGTTTTTTAACGTCCCCTGCTAAGAGTTGAGAAGATGCAGGAAACGGGGGTTACGGTTTTCCGTCCATAACCGGGACAAGAATATCAAACCATTTGCAGATGTCACAGCTTAGGCGGCAGCACATTCTCCTCAGATATTTTACGACTCTGAGTGTTGTTCTGGTCTAGAGCTTCAACCCACGACCTCTGGCGCTCTTTTTGAGAGCTTATTGACACTTTTTTTATGCCTTTTACCCACATAACAGACATTGACGCACCAGATACAATTGACACTTGGGGTGCAGTTACCTGCCACAAACCACACAATCCTCTTTGACGGAATCAGAGAATAGAATGTTGATGGCTCATGATTGAAAAACCCACCTTTCTTAATAGGTTTGATTAAAGTGGGTTCCAATTGAACAGCAACTGTTGCATCATCGAGACATTCCACGTATTTTGCTGTGAAATTGAAGAAATTCGGTTTAAAAAAGTGGTCATCACATGCAATTGCACCAAAGACGCCTAAAAAAATTACAATTGCATAAATTGCAGTCCATTTACGAGGATCATTTCTTTGCTTAATTTTGATCTGCTGAAGGGTGATATCTCTTTCCATGCTTTTTTTCTGCAGTTGCTCAATTTTTTTTCCTTTTTTTGAGGTAGATTGTGTATTCCGTTGTCTTGTAACGCTGCATGAGATATTTATATATTTAGAAATGAAATTGTTACCTAAACGGAAATGAGCTGTTGCCCTGTTGCTGTAAAGCTTGGCGTTCAGCCGTTTATCTTTGCAGTTGACTTGAAGTCCTTCCGTGTAGGAGTTTATCGCGTTATTAGCTTCTCCTTTTCTGTATTCTTTGTTACCTTTCTCCAGAAATACTTTCGCTATCCCTGAAAGCACGCCATTTTAGTGCTAATGATTTAATAATTAGTAATACGACCCTTGACCAATGATGCCAACTTCATACTTCCAAACGAACTGCTAGATTAAAGGAGCTTAGAGCAATGAAAAACGAAAATAAGAAAAGTTTACTATCTGTGCATTTGTTTCTGTGCAAGCTGTTGGAAGTCTGGGCTGTAGCTTGGCTATTACCAGTTCAAGTTTCACGGTTTGCATTTGGGTCTAGAGGCTTTCTTAAACCTCCTTTTATACTTGGCTTACGTTTTCAAAAATATCACAAGTTTCATCGGGAGATCCTATTTGAACTTAACTTTGTTTGCAATCGCCCTTCAAGAGTCTGTGCATTTTGTTTGCTTTAAAATATGCAAGCTATTAGGAGTTTTAGGTGTAGTTTGGCTATAACCAGATCAAATCTATTCGGTTTAGAGAGACTCTACATAAACCCTTTTACACCTGCGTTACGCATGTTTCCTCTTTATTCGTGTGACTTTGTTTTTCCCACACATGTAATTGTCTATTGAGAACATACTCGTAGAGGCTAACTGGAGAGATTTGATTGGGAAAGTAACATTTTCCCGCGAAGTGCCATTTTGCCTGTTGTGAAAGTCAGCAGTTCTACTATATTAATGGCCAGTGGTTTACAGCGTGGGCTTGATGTTGTCATAACTGTCCGAAGAGGCGTGAAATATTTAGAGGACCAAAACAGGCGATACGACCAAGACAAAATGCCTCCTCTTCTCTGTAGAGTTCTAATATTGCGTAAAAATTTCCTCCGAATATGTATTGAACAATGAGGGACAAAAACTTTCCTCGTGGTGGCCCCAAAAAGTTACCCGTTGGCAAATTTTCAGAACTCGACTTTGACAGGTTTATTGATACCAATAGCTCTCTCTCGACGACAATGACTTTCATACTAAAAATGACCAAATTTTGGGTATTTTCAAATGCAAAAGGACAATACTTCTTCTTCGCAATTATCATTCATTTTAGGTGCAAATTGAAGATACATCTTTATCATTAAAAACATCGTGTGTCGAATTAGAAGTGAACACTTCTAAAACTCAGAAAACTGAGTTTTACCATACCTAGTGGACCAATTTTGGCCCATTTTTGTCTAATTTAGGGCTCTTCAAAGCGAAGTCGCGTTCAAATTTGCCGCTTTATTGGTTATGAATAATTAATAACGTCTACGCATTCTGCTCGATCGGATCGAGCAATCAGTTGTTTTTCCTTTGTTTTTCATTTTACTGATAACAAAGTTTGAAATTTGAAGAAACAATCTTTTGCTGTTTCAAAAACTTATCCACAGAACGCAAGCAAATTTTGATGTAAATGTGACAAAAACTTCACTGGGACGTCTTTCAAACAATCTTACTTCAGCTGGTTTTCTTACCTCTCAATGAGTGATTGTATACATCCAGTTCAGCGTCACTTGACGTAACTTGACTTTCCTCTGTCGCTGGAATTACCGAGAAGATATTTCAACTTTTCAACTATGAACAATTACAACTAGCGTTCTAATACTGGCGTATTTAGAGGATTCCTCTAAACCATCGAGTGGGAATGATCCAAAAAATTGTGCACCAGAATTAAGATATACTTAATCAACAAACAGTACAAAATCACTTTGACAAAGTCTTTCCCTGTTGCTTTTTCTCACCTGTGGCTGGAAACTCATTTTTCACCTCCAGTTCTTCTCCCGTTGTTGGGAGGTTGCTTTCTGCCATAGCTAGAAATAAAATTGAATCGATTGTTCTGCGCTACATTGTTAAAAATCAAAAAGAGGAGACTCAGATGAAAGTAACCTAAAGAAAACGTTGTATACTTAATCATACAGGAAAAACGAGAATCTCAAAGTTCCCTCCGTCACGCTATTGCGATTGCGTGACAGCTCCAGTCAAGTTCTGCGGGTTGTGTCATATTTGTTTCTTTCTATTGTTCAATTGTTTGTTTGTTTGTTTTCGAAGTCTCATCTGCTGAAACGTCGTTCAAGGCTGCCCCTAATCAAAATGCGTGAGTTGCAATAAACATCCTAGTTGTACCCAGTAGGCATGGATAAGCATGGATCAAAATTAATGCAATAAAAGACTCTTTCTCTCATTCCTTCCTTTTATCGCGTGTGGGGCTGAGAGAATTTGCGAAACTTATTCCAAACCGAAACACCTTCGAGGGTTTGCGTTACCGTCATGAATTCTACCAACACCCCGCGAGCCTATTGCGTAAAGAAACACGTTTATCGACCCTGTTCTTCTACAAAGTGCATGTGTAAAATGTCCCTCAAACCTATCAAAAAAATTGCTGGACAAAGTCTGTTTTTATCAA